TGTTTATTTTCTAGTTTAATAATTTCTGCTCTTAATTCGTATTATTTCCTTTTTTCGATGGGAAATCAGTTGCGTTCTTTTTCTTCTTGTGAGGTATGTTTAACCATTTTTTTTTGCCTTTTAAAAATAACATCTGCATTTTAAATTGTAAGATTGCTGTTAAGTCTGTGAGTACTTCTGTGTTATGTTAAGTGCATCTCCACATTCTGATATTAATATTTTTATTACCTTTCAGTATAAAGTATTATTAATGTCCAAAATGATTTCTCCTTTGACCAATGAGTTATTTAGAAGTAGTTTTTTAATTTCTAAATATTGGAGCATTTGCCAGTTATCTTTCTGTTATTTTAATCCGAGTTTAAGTCTTCTGTGGTCAGAGAACATACTTTGTATTATTTCTCTTCTTTTTAATTTTTTGGAATTGTTTTATGGAAGTGAATGTTCCAGGCACAATTGGAGGGAATGTGCATCCAGTATTTTTGGGTAAGATATCTTACAAATGTCAGTTAAGATAAGTTGGCTGAGAACATTGTTCAGCTCTTCTGTTTTCACTTGTTCTGTTACTTACTGAAAGAGGAATGTTGGAATCTCCAACTATAATTTTGGATTTTTCTATTTTTCAATTCTAACAGTTTATTTTGTATATTTTGAACTTGGGTGCATATATGTTTAGTATTTTTCTGTTTTCTTGAATGAATCGATCTGTCTGTATCTGTGTAATGTCCCTCTTTGTCCCTACTACATTCCTTCTCTGAAGCTTGCTGTCTGAATTTAATATACATACTCAGTTTTCTTTTGATTACTGACTGTAATCTGTCTATACTTTTACTTTTAACCTGTCCATGTCTTACATTTAAAATGTGGTTATTATAGAAGGCATAGAATTGGGTCTTGCTTTTTTTACCCTTGCACAATCTCTGCCTTTTCATTTTAATGTCTGTATCATGCGTGTTTGAAGCAACTGTTGATATGGTTTGGTTTGCACCTACCATCTTGCTGTTTGTTTTCTATTGACTCAACTGTTCTTGCTATTTTTATTTCATTGTTACTCATATTTTTCATTGATTCATTATTATTTCATTGTTATTCATATTACTCATTATTTCATTATTTGAAAGAAAGGAATCACTTTTTTTGTCCCATGGACTTTGTTTTTCTTTTTTAGGATTCGGTGTATCTTCACTATGGCTTATTAGTTATGTCCCCTTTAAAAAATTGTTATTGTTCTAGGGATTACAATATGCTTCTCTAATTTATTACAACATATATTCAAATGAGAAGATGCCACTGTGTGTACAGCGCAGGGTACAGTGTGAGAACATACCAGGAGTGCAGAGCACGCTTCCGTGGACTTCTTTGGCCTCTTCCCCATCTTCTGTGCTGTTGTTTTTCTGCATTTTACTTCCACGCACATTATACATCCCACGGTACCTTGTTACTTTATCTCCTAAAGATACGCAGCTATCTTTTAAAGCGATTAAAATGACAGAAATGGTTTTTATATTTACCATCATTTATACCATTTTCGTGCTTTTCATTTCTTTTTGCAAAATGTCCGTTTTCACCCAGCAGCCTTTTGCTGCAAGGACTTCTTTAACAATTCTTGATAGCAAAGACTGCTCTCTGTGAATTTTCACACTTTTGTCTGAAACAATCTTTATTTCACTTTCATTTTTTAAAATTTAATTAATAAACTTTAATTTTGAGAGCGATTTTGGGTTTCAAGAAAAATTGAGCAGAAAGTACAGAGTGTTCCTGTATTCCTTAACTGCCCAGGCTTGCCTGCCTCTTCCAAGAGACCTTCAGCGTATTAATCACACTTATCTTAAAGCACTTGTCTGATCGTTCCCATGTCTAGGTCCGATGTCCTCCCCCGCCTCGTCCTTCTGCCCGCTTCCTGCTCATCCTCACACTTCGCTTCCCCACGTTTTCTCTTTCTTAAGTCTCTTGTCACTGTTCGTCATCTTCAATTTTCTTGCCTACGTCACGCTCTAAACTGTGCCCTTCAGGGCAGGCTCTGGAACTTGCTCATCTCTTGCCCTGAGTCTAGGGCTACTTAATTGGGCTAAACTCATAATAATGACTGCGCGAGTAGGTGAGGGAAGGAAGGGACAAAGACACAAGGGGGAGCTTCCGTGGTAAGATTTCCAGGGAACATTGCCATGTAAAATTGAACCATCCTCTTTATACTTTAAAAAGTTCACAAAATAACCCATACTTGAAACATTTAGCAATTTCAGAATTTAAATAGTGAGAGTTCCCTTTCTTCCTGCACTATAGTCTAGGGTAATGCGTGCTTCCAGACTTTTCCCTGCATGAGTGTATGTATATACGACCCCATGTATTGCACACACATGCATTAGTATAATTTGCGTTAAGAAATGGGCTCATACTGCATAGAAAATTCTTCACCATGTTTTTTCATTTACATGAATTTTCAGGAGCATCTTTCTAAGAGCATATCTCCAGGTGCTTCTCTGTAGAACACTGTTACACGGATGTAATTTATCGAAGCGCCCTGTCGGGTAGACATTTGGATTGCAGTTCTTGGCTTATATTGTAGTGCTGATGGCTGACATGCCACGGGGCTTACCGTGGGCCACGGACCATGCTATGAGCTTCCCGTGCGTGATCTCGTGTGGCCTTTCTAATGCTTTTCTCAGTCACGCGCAGCCGCTCTCCCTTCTTTCTTCTCATTAGCATAGCTGACAGTGAGAAGTACTGAAGCTGAAGCTTCTGGACTCTGCTCATCCGCTGTGGCCTCTCCAGGACATTTCAGGAAGCAGCCAGGTGTTCCAGAGTGTGGGCGCCAAAACAGCGATTTCTGTCTTCAGCTCTCTCCCGTTCTGTGTTCACTGCGGGGGATTCGTCCCTCCCTGCTTCAGGGGCCCTCTCTTACCCCTCTCCTCACTTTCCTTTAAGAGGGCAGGTCCCTGGTGACCACTTGAGGCTGGATGCAGATCTGTCTATCCATTCTCTGGCCCTACCAGCAGATTGGGGATCTTAGTTGCTTGATTTCCCAGGGGAGGCCGACCTGAATGTGGTCCAGTGAAATGTAATCAGGGACTTTATAGTGTCTGTTTTCGTCTTTCCCAAACCTCCTGGCTGCCACATCTCGACCTTTCATCCCAGGGGTGGTATAAGTCTCTCCGCGGACAGGCTTGGGTTGATGGATTTCTTCCTGTGGTGTGCTGGGCCGAAAAGACTACCTTTCTGAATTCCACATTTCTAGTCTTCCTGCAAATCAAGGTGGGTTTTTTACTTCAGCCGATTCTCATGCATAGCCAGAAATGATTCGTCTTGTCCCTGGGTTGTCAGAGGCTCAGAGGAGCAGGCGGAGGCAGGCAGGGCCTCCTCTCCATTTGTTCCAAGAAGCCTTTCAGGAGTGCCGCCCCCCCCCCCATTGTGCCCTGAGGCCTCCAGGCCACCACTCTAAGCCACTGCTGATGCTCTGATTTTTCCCCTCATTAATGTCTTTGTTTAAAACAGCTTTACTGAGGCATATTTTTCATGCGGTGAAATTCACCCATTTAAAGCATCCGGTGAGATGAGTTTCGGTAGATGTAAACAGCCATGAGGCCCTCAGCCGCAGTCACATTTGAACTTGCCATAGTTCCCTTGTTTCCTTGTTCATCCCTTTGCCAGCAGCCCCTTGCTCCCTCCTCACTGTGGACCAGGCAACCATCGATTTGTTTCTGGAGGCTAAGGTTTTGCCTCTTCTAGAATTTCATATAAATGGAATCCTCTGGTATGTTGTCTTTTCTCTGTGGCTTCTTTTTCTTAGTAAAATACATTTGAAATGCATCCCCGTCATTACCCGTAGGGTTCCCTTTTAGTGCTGAGTCATATTCCATTTTCTGTATAGTTGGCGACCTGTGTCTGTGCTCCCCAGTCGAGGTACATGGAGTCCTTTTTCATTTCGAGGCTGTTGTGCATCATGCTAATACGAACATTTGTGTACCAGTCTGTGTGTGGACAAAAGTTTTCATTCCACTTGGGTAGATACCTAAGAGGGAATTGCTTGGTTGAATGATAAATGTATACTTAGCTTCCTGAGAAACTGCCAGCTGTTTTCTAAATTACGATGCTATTTTGCATTCCTGCCAACAATGTCTGTGGGTTCCTGTTGTCTGATATCTTTGCCAGCATAGGTATTATTATTATCATTTTAGTTATTTTTCTTTTTTAAGATTTTATTTTAATTAGGCTCCACGCCCAACGTGGGGCTTGAACTCATGACTCTGAGATCAAAAGTCAGATGCTCCACCTACTGAGCCAGCTAGGTGCCCCATAATTTTAGTTCTTCTAGTGGGTATAGTAGTACCTCTTCTTGACTTCTTATTTATTCTTTTGGCCTTTGGTTTTCTTTTGTCTTTAAAGTTTATTTTGAAGCAATTTTAGATTGATAGAAAAGTTGCAAAGCTAATACAAAGGTTTCCCTTTGCACCTTTAATCTTCTAATGAGATGGTTCCCAACCAGGGTTGATTTTGCTCCCAGTGGACCTGTGGCAATGTCTAGAGACATTTTTAGTTGTCCTGTCGTGGGGTGAGGGGCAACCAGGGGAATTTTCTGACATCTAGTGGGTAGAGGCCATTTGAGATTGAGGTGGCCATCAGGATGCCTCTTTGGACCTTTTCCTTCTGCAGTTTTCGTCACTTGATCCCCTCCCACTGTCATGGGCCTCTGTTCTGAGTCTATCTGGGTCTGAAGAATCAATCAGAAATGGAGAAAAAGGGTTTTCTCTAGTTCCAAGTGGACAGTTTCAACCTCCAGTGACCATCAGGCTGGAGGGTATGTGTCTGGTTCCTGTAGGATGGTGACTGACGTTGTACCAACCATCTCTGGATGTTCCCTGATGGCCACTCCTCCCCCTGGACAGAAGTTGCTGACTTTCCTTTGTTCCCTGATTTTATTACCTGCTCTTAACATGATGCTCGTAATTAGCACAGTGGCGGTCCGTGTTGCCCGTGTAACTGTGGATCATTTCTTGTCTTCACAGTCAGATTATTGCCAGAGGGCTGCTCGATGTCCTCCGGGACTTCAGTAACAATGAGGAGGACTTCTTAACGGTAATAGAGATGGTGGTCCGATTGGCAGAAGACTCAGGTTTGTACGAGGGTTGTATACTTTTATTTTTTACTTGTGTATTTCCAAGAAATTATGTATAACCAATGATAGTGAGTTGAAAACCTGGGGTGTTCATCAGTACATTTTAAGCAGTGTCTAAGCACGAATGGCTTTTGTCTTGAAGAATGGGTGTCTTATTTGGGATCAAATTATCCTTAGTTTTAGAAAATTAGAATGACTAATGGCCATGAATGCTATCTATGCCGGCAGTTAAGGCCTTTGTAGTTCATGAGTTTTGCCAGCCTGTTGGTTGCTAAGAAATACCAAATCAAAAGAAGTCCTTTGGATTAGAACAAGCCCAGTCATTAGTTTCCCTCACCTATGATCTTTGTAGGCTAATCTTGATTTTTCTTTCTCTTTCTACCTCTCCATGATTGCTGTCCTGGGAGAGAAGCGCACTGCTGTGCGGGAGACAGGAAGATGTCCCTCCCCTGCTCTCCTCCCCTACACACGTAGGAAAGAGGGGGGAGATGAGCATTTTGGGGGCTGCTTATACAGAGAGCTGCCTGCTGCCCTCACACACCCGCCCCCCCCCCCGCCCCCTATTTGTAATGATTGGTGAACAGCTTCAGAAAGTTTTGGGGATCTTACGCTTGCTTTAGAATTTGATCATTTTAACTGCAAATAGAAAAATAAGCCTTCCGCATAGCTCCCGTATTCATTTAAAATATTCATATGAATATGACACAATGCTTTTAGAAGGCCCAAGTGGATGTTTTGAGTCCTTAAATGGATTCTCTTTGTAAATGAGTCACCATTTACAGTGCTGAAGCAATTATATATTTGTGTTAAATTTAATGTGGTGTATTGGAGCTAGAGCCGCTCTTTTGTTTAATGCTTTGCCTTAGAAATAATTGGGATGCGGGGATTGTGGGGGAGTGCATTTATGAAAGAATTATTTATAATGTATACATTCTGGCTGGAATTTAAATAAGCACAACCCATAGGTCTGGCATATATGCCATTAGTTGTAATGGCTTTTGGACGCTGGCCCAGCACGCAGACTTCTTGCTCCCTCCTCGATTTATATATGGCTTGTTATAATAGAGTTGTCATTCTCTCTTCCTTTTATGTTTTTATATTGCCAGATAGCTTATTAGCTTTTTAAGCCTGTCTGTAGCATAAATACTCTAAATGGGAAATGATTTTTAAACTGCATTTGTCTAATTTCCTTGATGAAGTATTTTAGTAAGAAAAGCTAGAAACTATGCCTCTGTACTCTGTAAGGTGCTTGGCTTATTCTCGTATAATTCTTCTCCGATTTTTTATTGCTACAGAGCCCATGGTGCGGACCGAGCTGATGGAGCAGATTCCTCCTATTGCTGTTTTTTTACAAGAAAGCAGATCAGATTTTCCAGTGGTGCTCTCTGAATATCTCACCCCGATTGTAGTGAGGTACCTCACGGATCCCAACAACCAGGTGTGAAAAACTGGGACCTGAAGATCTGTGCAGCAAATTCCCCTTAGTCTTATTTTAGCTGAGATCCATAATTCCGAGAACAGCTTCTCAGAGTTAAGCGATTCGAGAACAAAAGATCTGTTTGTGCCGGGTTCCTCAGTTACGCAGGCAGACAGACAGCATTCACTCTTAGTATCATGAGAGATTTCTTTCTTATTTTTTTAACCTTTTCTTATGGAAATTTTCAAACACAGGGAAGTAGAGAGACTGTTAGAATGAATGTCCATGTCTGAATGAATACACCCAGAGTCGACAGTCATTAACATTCGACCGGTCTGTTTTCATTTATCTTGAGCTAATCCAACCCAGATAAAAGCATTTCCCAGATACCATGTCGTTGTAGCTGTAAATGCTTTAGTATTTCTCTCTGAGAAGTACAGACACTTTTTAAAATACATGATGGCAATCCCAATATCCCATGGATAAAAATTATCAATAGATCCTTAGTATCATTTAATCTTGAGTCATTGTTGAAATTTTTCCAGTTTTCTCAGAAATCTGGTTGTTCACAGGCAGTCTCTTTAAATCAGAACGCACATGAGGTCCACCTACTGGATTTGGTTGATGTACCTTTTAAATCTCCCTTAATTTATAATTGTTCATCCCTCCGTTTACTCCCTTGCTCTAGGAAACTAGGTCATTAGTCTGTAGGAGTCCCCGCATTTGGGATCTGGCTGATCACATCCCCATAGTGTGGTTTGAAATGTTCCTCTGTTCCCAGTATTTCCTCTGAACTGCTAGTTAAGTCTAGAGGCGTGGTCAGGTTCAGAGCTTTGTGTAGTACAGTGAGAATCCTTTCGTGGTGCTGTTGTGTTTTCTTGCTGCATCAGATCAGGAAGCATAAAAGCTGTGTGAGGGCTGGGTTGTGTTTGGGTTGTGTCGGCCTTATCTGTTCATTACAGAATTCCTCGCCAAGAGTTTGCATTGGTATTTCCAAAATCACATTGAGGATTGTAGAGCTTTTACTTAATTTGATTTTATATTCATAACTTTTTATTTTTACATAGTATAAATCTTGCTTCATAAGGGCATTAATGTGTCTCTGTGTGTGTGTCCAAAATAAAAATACCAGTATGATTGCTGACAGTATGATTACTAAGAGTACAATAGGATAACTGAATATAGTTTCGGATTTCTTTGACGTTCTTTCTGTTTTTGGGTTGTCTCCCACTAGAGATGCACAGTCATATTAACATTAATATTAATGAGATTGTGTTTCAAAGTCACTTGTATTAACCCTTCTCTTTGTGCGTAAGCTGCCAACTTGATCCACAATGAGACTCATTTATTTTTTATTTTTAGAAATTGCTTTAGCTTTTACATTTTGATTTAATTTAGACTTATAATTATTTAAAATGTTTTTACATAATTCCAAGTCAAAACTATTTAAGTACATTCAGAAAAATCTGACTTCCAGGGAGCCCTGGGGGGTTCAGTGGGTTAAGTGTCCGGCCCTTGGTTTCAGCTCAGGTCATGGTCTCAGGACTGTGAGACTGAGCCCCGCGGCGGGCACCGCGTGCTCTGTGCGGAGTGTGCTTGAGACTCTTTCTCTCTCCCTCTCCCTCCCCTAAAATACATAGATGCAATCTTTTAAAAAAGAAAAGAAAGGAAAAATCTGACTTCCATCCCTGCCTTCCCTGTCTGTTCCCTCCTTCCCCTATAGATCGCCATTTTTCCCGGGTTTTGGTTTATTCTTCCCTTTAAAAAATATGCACGGATAACTTGAAGCCGTATGCACGTGTCCTTGTGTCCTGCACCCCCTTGTCACTTTCTCAGGTTCACGTGGTGCGCTGCTCATGATGCCCTGTTCCTCGCTTTCCCCTGCTGTCCGGGGTATTCTGCAAGCAGGCAAGGCAAAGCTTCCTCATCCCTTTTCCCAGCAGCAGGGTACTCACCAGGGAGAGGTAGTGAAGCTAGTTCATAGACATTTGGGTTATTTCTATTCTTTTGTCACTTTAAAATCGTTGCCACAAGTAGCCTTTGCAGCCTTTCCATTTGTGTGAGTTACTGCGGGAATGGATTTGCACAAAGGCAAACCTTGTATTTATAATTTTTTTTTTTCTAGAGAGAGAATGGGAGAGAGCACGATGCCGGGGGAGGAGAAAAGGGAGAGGGAGAGAGAGAGAATCCCAAGCAGGCTCCACAGCCAGCACGGAGTGGGACGTGGGGCTCAATTTCACGACCCTGAGGTCATGATTGGACCTGAAATCAGGATTTGAATGTTTAACTGAGCTACCCCGGTGCCCCTGTATTTATAATTTTTAACGATATGCCAAGTTTTCATTATTGTTTCCAAGAAGTTCTGCAGTTTCAGCTTGTCTCTCTCAATCCAAGTGTTTTTAAAGAGCAAATGCTGTAAGTGTTACCCCGTGACGTGATTGAATGTAGTGCTCAGATGAGGAGGAAAGTCCTTCTGTTTCTGTTCTCCTAATGCCAGTCTTTAGATTATTTTTGCATTTTCTTCCTCAGGTGCTTCCATTTTGTCCTGTGTGTGTCTAATCATAATGGGACGCAGTTTCTCCCATTCATTCATTTACTCTGGCGGCTTCTGAATGCCTGTTACCGGCCAAGTGTGGTGCTTTGTGCCGGGGATAAAGACATGAGTAGGACAGATTTCCTGCCCCAGAAAGCTCACCGATGTGCAGTAGACGTTGTACATCTTCATAATCTTCGTATTTTAACTTGTGTTGAATGCTCCGCTTTCGTTCGGCCTTTTGGGGTGTGGACGCGCTGAGCATTGTAACGGCGGCGGTTGTGTTCTTCCACTGGCCGTTCTTTTTCCTTTGGATGTGTTCTTGAAGATGAGATTGCACTGGGTCAAAGAACTTGACATTTCCTTGACCTTTTACATATATCATTGCCATTTATTTGGTTCCAGAAGGGGAGAGGCTGGAACTGTGATTTGGGCCCTGGGCTCTCTCCTGTCTCTCCTTGCTCTGCCACCACCCTGAGCCTTCTGGTCCCAGAGGCCTGTGGCTCCCTCCTACCCTTGTCCTCCTGCCTTCATTTCCTTTTCCGCTTTGGCTGCCCCCTCCCTCAGCCTTCCCTTTCTGGCAGCCTCCCCATCCGCACCCCTGATTTTTGTCCTTTTGACGGTGCCTCCGCCACTCTGCCTCCGCCTGCCGGCCCATTCACAGCCCACAGACTCCCACGTCCCGGAGGCCAGGTTGGTGGGGAGCAGGGGTTGGGGGCTGCTGCCATCGCAGATTTACGGATTCTGATTGTAGCCGGACTCGCAGTGTTGCCTGCCGACACTTCCATTCGTCCCTCCTCAGCTGGTCTTACATTATCCAAGGCAGCTCTTTCAGACCTTTGCCACTGTCATCAAGCCTCTCCATCTTGGCCTGTCGTGCACCAAACCGGTGACCTTGCCTTTTGCTTCAGTGAGAAAATAGAGGCCTTCTGTCTTCATCCGCTCTCTCAACAAGTGGATCCACCGCATACTTCCTTCGGTTCCCTGGAGCCCAGCCAGGGGCCATCAGTATCCTCCCTTCTCCTGCCCCCCACGCCCAGCTGGGCCTTGCCAGGTGTCCTTTGTTTCCATGATAAACAGAATTCTTCTCCATTCCTGTCACCTTTAAACACAGAAATATGGCAGAGCCCGATCTTCCTAAAGATATTTCCTTCAGACTCTAATGCCTTCAGACATAGCTGACTCCTTTGTGGGCCGCCTGTCCCGGTCCTGCCTTGAGGCCACCACAACTGTGCCTTCTACCCATGTTGGAGGTCTTGCTCCTTCCAGATGCCTCTCCTCTCCTCCTGCCCATCTCGCCTCCCTTTAACCGAGGCCAGCCCTTCCAGACCTCCTCCTTATGGGGGTGCCCAGGGTCCCCGAGGAGGTCGGATGCCGCATTCAGCCAAGGCTCAGATTCTTTCGCCTGTGGGAGTGGGTCTGTCAGGTTGGCCGAGCAGCTGCGGCGCAGGCCTCCCTGTGCCTGTCATCAGTACTCTTCAGGGCCGGCGTGCCTTGCAGGGACTCGCGGTGGGTAAGAAACCACAGCATCAGGCACAATAGTGACGACATGACCATGGTTGCTGGTACTGCTAACAGCTTGGGCTGCTGGAGCTCGCAGGGCGTGACCTACCCGGCTCCAGGATTAGCGAGGATGATCTTGTTTACTCTCCCTAAGTGCCCTGTGAAGTGTGGGCATGCACATTCGTTCCCCTTTGTTTGAGAGGCACAGGGCCGAGGTGCAGGTGTGTGTGTTGGGGCACCATGAGCTACGCGGGAGCCCGGCAGGCCGCCCTGGTTTCCCTAGGCTCATCTGGTGAATGTGTTGGGACCGCCTAGGCTCTTCTGGATGTCATGACTAGTACTTTCCCGTGTTAGACTCTGAGCACTCTGACCTAGGAGCTGTGTCTTACTTGATGATCTCTGTGACCGAGCCTGGAGCCTGGTACCTGCTCGTGTTCTAGGAGTGCACTGTGGAACCGAGGCAGCCATCATCTGTCCCATTTGCCAGTGTGACCACGTTTCTGCAGATGTCCTGAGCTACTTGCCTTCTGTCTCACAGGGAACGGGGGTCCCAGCCCCTTTTCAGGGCGATGTCTTCCTTTCCATCTTCTTTCCCATCTTCTTATGTCAAGGTTGGCTTATTTTTCTAGTCTCTCTCGTTGGCTTTTCTCTTTCGATTTTCATCATGCCTCCGTCTCCCTCAACCCTCTGTGCCCGGGCCTCCACCCCGAGCGCCCCGCCGCTCCCTTCCCTGTTGCCAGGCTTCTTGAAGAACCAGGCCCTGCAGCTTCTGGCGGGCGTGGGCTCCTGGTGTAGGATCCCGGCCCGGCGGCGGCTCGCCGCCTGGCAGCCGGCGGACCCCTGCAGCCACTGAGAGGTGTCCCGCCGTGGACTCTGCTCTTCTCTCTGTGAAATCTGGTTTTTTTTTTTCTTCAGAGATAGTTTTGATTTTTAAAAACCATGAAATGTTTTTATCACACTGGAGGATTGTGTAATAAACACCCATATATCTACTACACTCACTCAAGAAATGTTAAACTTTTGTAATATACCACTTTAATTTTTTCTGAATGGGTTGCAGATCCGGTTAAGACTGTGCCATGCCCTCGCCATGCCGTTCTTCTCCCTCCCTCCCCTTCTGTAGGAAACCACTACCATGAGCCCCAGGGTGTCCTTCCCATCCAGAGTTTTATAGTCCCACCACTTGCGTAGTGACCCTGAATAAGAGTGTCTTGTTTTAGGTCCTTTAAAACCTTATATAAATGGCGTCAGACTGTACTTTCCATTCTGCTGCTTGCTTTTATCCCTCTCTTTTTAAGATCCATCTACCTCGATCCCGAGAGCTCATGGTCATTCATTTTAACCGTGTGATGGTATTGCATTTATACGCTTTCCACAATTTGTCTATCCAGTGACTTCTTTTTTGCCTTTACTTAATTTTTTTTTGCACCATTTGTCACCATTAACAACTTTTGGGTCTTTGAAGAAACCTTTCTTGGCTGCATCCTAGACATTTAGTGTTTCTCCCCCACCGGTGGGATGCACAGGTGCCGGGGACGTGTTCTCTGTTCCTCCTGGAACTCAGCGTTAGGTCCGTGTGCGTTGGGATCGTCTTACCTCTTACGTCCCTCTCTTGGTGGCTAGTCATATGATTTTAGTCACGGTAAATCAGGATTCATCTGGGGGAGATGGGACCCCACACACTGTTCTTTTTTTTTTTTTTTTTTTAAGGTTTTATTTGTTTGAGAGGGGGAGAGAGAGAGAGAGAGAGAGTGCACATGTGCAAGAGCTTAAGAACGGGGAGGGAGGAGCAGGAGCCCCGCTGAGCAGGGAGCCTGGACATGGGGCTCGATCCCGGGACACTGGGATCATGACCTGAGCTGAAGGCAGATGCTTCACTGACTGAGCCCCCCAGGCGCCCCCACCCCACACACTGTTCTGAGCCCTTTATGTCTGCAGTTCGTGTTACTGCACAGCTGCCCTGGCAGGTGGGACTGTCACCTTGCACGTCTATAGACACGAAGCCTAGCCTCAGCCCTCAGCTGCTGGCCCTGGACCCCCCACTAGTGACTGCAGGACACAGATGGGGTGCATCCTGGAAACACTGCAGGGTCTCGTGTGGGTGACCCAAGTGTCGTCCCCCCCCCCCCCCCCCCCCCCCCCCCCCCCGGTGGGTTTCCCCCCCCCCCCCCCCCCCCCCTCGGTCCTGCCCGCCCCCCCCGGGTGTGGTTGGTTCTCTCCGCCCCCCCCCACCCACCCCATCCCAACCTTTTTTTTTTTAAAGTGCCAGGATTCCTTTGGTTTTCTCTTCTGCTCCTGGAGGCCTGAGCAGAGCCACATGCCCAAGGCTGTCCCCAGACCCTGGAACTCATGAGTTGGCCCCGCCCACTGGCCACTCTCCAGAAGCCTCCCGTTGCGTCATGTTGGGCCCCCAGGTCAGACACCCACACCAGGTCTTCAGTCTTCCTTCTCCTTTTCTTGCATTTGGTGATTGGTGGCCTAAGGCAAAGAGCCCAGGGTCATGTTTGGTTTTCCCGGACCATCTCTAGTGATGAGCTCAGTTCTCTTGGGCAGCATCTCTCAAGCCTTCCCTCTCCTTACTGGGCCCCCCCCGGAACCCTTGCCTCGGCCAGAGCCTCTCTGCCCAGGAGCCCCTCGCCTGCTCTCGCGGCTTTCAGAGCCACTTGGGGCTTCTAAACTGTCACCCTCACAAAAGTTGTGTCTGCTCTTGTCACGCCTCTGCTTTCCAACCCTTGAGGCTCCCCCATGCCCTGGAGTAAGCCCCGGAGGCCCTGGCCCTGCCCCACCCCAGCTGGCCCTTCAGCCTTCCCTGGGTCACCTGAGGCAGTATCCCCGACTTGTCCCGGGTCTCCAGGGCTCATCTCGTATCTTTGGGCCCATCGTCCTCTCCCCTTTCTTTGCTTGCTGTAACAGTCCCCAGGGACAGCCATAACCAAGCACCACAAGCTGGGGGGCTTCGAACAGGAGACATTTATTCTCTCCCAGATGTGGAGGCTGGAAGTCCAAGATCAAGGTCTCATCTGGGTCACACTCATTCTGGAGGCTTCAGGGGAGAATCTGTTCCTCGCCTCTCCCAGCTTCTGGAGGTGTGGGCCCCCTTGGCTTCTAGCTGCAATGCCCCAGCCTCTGCCTCTGTTTTCCTGTGGCCTCTTCCTCTTCTGTCTGTCCTCTCCCCTTGCCTTTCTCGTAGAAGGACACTTAGAAGATTGTCCTTAGGGTCACCCTGGTAATCCCGTGGATGACCTCCAGGTCCTTAACATGACCCCAGTCACATCACAGAGACCCTTTTGCCACAGAAGTCACATTCAGAGATTCTAAAGATTGGAGGTACACATTACGTTGCTGTCCGCCCTTCACCCTGCCGTCCTCAGCAGTCTTCTGACTGCCTTTGACATTCTGCTCCACGTCCTCTGCTGAGGACCGGCGCTCCCCTTACCGCTGCCCCCCACCTGTCGCGTCCTCCCTGTGCTGCCGCCCACTGGCGTCCTCAGCTGCCACCTGGGATTGGGTCACGTAGCAAGGTGGCCAATGAATCTGGCCCTCCCAGGCTCTGCTTCTCGCATGTTCTTTGCTCCTGCATGTGCCAGAAAGCTCAGTAAGGCACATGCAGGAGTTATTGGGGACTTTGTTTGGACACTGCACCGCATCCTGTGACCCCAGCCTGGTGATGCCACTGGGGTGTCACCTCTCCCTGCCTGCCCCTCCCACCGAGGCTGTCGCGGCGGCTACCTGGCTGACCTGCCTTTCGTTGCCTCTTGTTGACTGGGAGCACCACTACCGGAACGAGCTCTCTAAAGTACCGTTTTCTTCTTGTCGCTTGTTTGGAAGCTTCCCTGTCTGAGCGCCTCTGAGACTGCTTCTGGAACTGCCGCCTGCTCACCTGCCGCTCTGCGCGCTCTGCCTGGGCCCCGGGGCTCTTCCTGGCTTCAGTGTCGTCTCCCACCCTTGCTCTGTGGGAGGCCGTTTCCTGTGTTCTCCCCTCCCAGATGGGTTCTCTGTCCAGCTTCTTGGTGTCCCTCTGAGTACTGGTGCTTGCTTGTCCCCACTCTCTGGACCGAGGAGGCTTCTGAGGCCCGCCTCACTGGGCCTCGTGTCTGGGCCTCACTGGGCCTCGTGTCTGGGCCTCACTGGGCCTCGTGTCTGGGCCCTGCCCCGCGGCCTTCTGTGGTCGTGTGTGCGGGCGTCTGTGCGGAAATCCGGGGTTCAGGCCGTGAGAGCAAAGTGGGGGCACTGTTGGAGGACAGGTGGGGGACACGACCTGAAAGGGGATCCAGGGAAGAGGATGTTCGGCCCGAGAGGAGAGGAATGGGAGGAACCAGCCCGGCGGAGAGAGCCGTGTTCTCTGAGGCCCTGGGGGAGGAAGTACAAGGGGATGGCCGGGCACCCTGTGCAGTTCACGCGTGTCCGGAGGCGGCCCGGCTTGGCGCTGCCCTCAGGGTGTTCGTCTGGCTCCGGAGAGCACTTCAGCTCGTTCGGTGTTTCACCTTTTGCCTTCTTTTCCTCTTCTAGGTTAGAAAATCAAGTCAGGAAGTGCTCTTGATTCTTCTGGAACAAGATCTAATTTCCCAGCATGATATTGAAACTAAAGTGTGTCCAGTCCTGCTGGCGCTCTCTGCGCCGGACGGTGATGACGAGTATAAGGCAGAAGCTGCGAACGTAAGTCTGTCTGGGGGAAGGGGGGTGACAGCTCCGCACCTCGGTGGACTGTCCCGTAGCTTGGGGTGAGCGTGACTTGTGGTCTTACAGGTGCTCGGTGTCGGCCGGCACTTCCCCTAAACAAGGTGGCCGTCAGTGTGGCCTTGGTCCGAGAACATTCACAGTTCGGATCTGAGCGTGTGTTGGACGTGCTTATCCTTAAAACAACTTAAAACCAGTTGTTTTAAGACGGCAAAGTTGTCGAAATCAGAGTGGTTGAGGCTGAGGTGAGATGAGATGCAGAGATGTGTAGGGAATCAGTCTTTGGACCCACTGGGATCACGGACCTTGTTTCCCAAAGTACAGAACCCAGTCTAGTGTGGGCGAGGATTTTAGCTTGTGTTTGGGCCGTTCAAGAAAGTCCAGTAGACATGGCTGACTGTGTGTAGGTCAGGACAAGGTGGTGCTTTGTAGGTCTGTGAGCGGATAAGAGGGTCCACTCTGAAGAGTGCAGGCGTGGCCGGAATGTCCACGGCAGTTTAGGACGTGCTCTGTGGCAGCGTCTGCTCATACCAGTTAAAGGACTAGTACAGATGCTCAATTTCTTCTTCGTTCAACAGTTACTTTGTGGTATCCTTGGGTTTGTAAGATTCTGTACCCATCATAAAGTGACTGTAGAGTCAAGGGCTTTCTACTTGCTTCTAGAACCCTCATTTACAAAGTAACTGCTGATGAGCCAGTGGGAGCTTTCACCTCTCAGCCCAGACACAGACTCCCCACTTGTCCTCAGGCCTTCTCCTTTGTGGCACAAGGAAGGTCATCCTCGGCCGTCTTGTGTTCGGTGGCTGCTTCCATCCACTGACCCATGCAGATGGTGCCGCACAAAACAGCCTTCTCTGTTTCTCTCACAGCAGTAATGACTCAGGACTATTCCAGCCTTTTAGGAAAATCATACGTAAGGATTAAAAAAAACCCATAGGCCTTCATTATGAGTACAATAAGACCTAGGAGAGGATTGTTTTCTTGCTTGGAAAAGAATGACGTTGGAGAAAGGAATTCTTTTTCAAAGTGAGGAAATAGCGCATGGAGCTGAAAAATTGTATTATAGCATCAGAGCCTTTGATAATTATTCTTCATTTATGTAAAAGTTTTCCTCAACTATGAGTTACAGGGCTGGCTTTTTAAACTAATTTAAGTTTTTGCATATTCCATATGTTTATAAGATGAATCAGGCTGAAGAATAATTGATTATTAAAATTCAAATTCTCCAGGGTTCTTTTATAAATTTCAAGTTTCCCTATAAGAAATTACATTTATTTTGCAAAATGAACCTGGATAATATCATTTAGTTGGAATATTCGGCAGTCGAGCAGTGAACTTTGCCAGCTAGATCTTCTTCTTTGCTGGAGCGTTGGTTAGGCAAGTTTCCAAGGTTACAACCGACAACCAAGTATCTTACCCCTCAAGACTGATGATACCGTGAAAAATAATGCTCAAGACGTTTTTGCATGATTTTTGTTTTGTTTTCAGCCGTTTTGTTCTTGCCAGCAATATTCCTTCTCTCCTCCTCCTCCTCCTGCCTGTTCTTTTTCTTCTTCTGGTGAAAATATTTGGAAAATATAGCAAGCCTTCATAAAGCTATCTCCACAAATCACCTACAGAACAAATTAGTTCACATAAATTAAGTGAGTGGCTGATATCATTACTCGAATGTGTAAGCTTCCCAGTGTGGCTGCCAAGAACGATGAATCTCGAACCCTCCTCAGGCCGCAGTGCACCCAGGTTTCAGGGTTTCTCTGGAGGAGCGCCACTTCTGTCCCCACAGATCCCTGTCAGAAGCAGGATTTGGGGTGCCTGACCCGTGCATGCTTTGGTCAGATTCGGAAGCTGTCCTGTGTTCCTTTCCTGGAGCCCCGAGGCCAAGGGGGAGGAGTCCTGGAAGGTCTCACTCCTTGGGTACCCAGTGTCGAGGAGCCCAGAGGGTGCTGTTCGCGTTAGCTAGAAATGACAGGATGGTTGCGGGGGTGGGTTTCTATCCTCAAGGAGAAGCAGCTCACGTGTGGTTTGGAGAGCTCCCCAAGGAGGGCAGGGTTCCCAGCTGGTCTGTGGGTGACCCCCAGACACTGCGGGCACCTCCGTGTACCGGCAAGGAGGGAGATGGGGGCGGAGAGAACCAGTCGTGCTGCTTGTTTTGGCTCTTTTCCAGCCACGTGGTGTGAGGGCTGCGACAGCCTGCCTGCCTGTCGGTAAACACGTGCCCGGAACGGTGCGGCTCCAGAGGAATTGCCTCTCGCTCAGAGGAGCCTGCCTGCCTTCCTAGGCAGGATGTGTGTCTGTGCTCGCACCTTTGCATTCTTGTGAGGGGTTCCAGTCAGCTGATTCTGGTGGCAGCACCCCGAGCGCATACTTGATTAGGGAAATCAAAGGTAGCCGAGTCGACGTGGCCTGGGCATTTTTAAATAGAGTTATGCCGTGTAAGTTACGGCTGGTGGTGGCTTACATCCTGCTTCCTCACAGACGTGCGCATTTCAGTTTGTGAAATCTTTCTGCAGATGGCAGACAACGTCCGGGACTCCCTCCTTTGTGCGTTCGGAAGGCTCGCTTCGTATCTGTCTCCTGTCATTTAGCAATCGATTCGTGCACTTGACTTGTTTATTTCTCCTTCCAAAGCGCGAGCTTCTAAACACAGGTGTCTCTCCGCCATCGGCACCCAGCACAGTGCCAGGCCCAGAGTCAGTACTAAATAAATGTTAGTTGTTGAATGAATGAATCGGTAAAAACTGGAAGCGCTGCGTCCTGTAATTATATCTAGACGGCGTAAACAGGCCACCAGAGACCAATTATAATTCCTCTTGCTCGCAGGAAAGCCATTAGCATTCTGAGATTATAACTAATTGTCAGGAGCCTATTTTTCTCTCTCAACACGTTTTCACATTAAGGCTTCCTCATTTTTTGTCGTCATTCCTATTTTTAAGCTCATTTTTATTTGTGCATTTATTTAAAAAGAACGTCGTGGGTATGTGTTGTGAAAGAATAGTCCAGGCGACTGAGGGAAGGCGGTCGTTCCGTGCAAGTAGTTCCCAGGGCCACGGGGATGTCATTTCTTGTCACTCGGTGTGCTGGCTGGCTTTTAATGATTCAGGGTTTGTTTTATGCGGGTAGTAATAAGGTCATGTGGGTGTGGCCGATGGAGAGGGGCAGCTGGAGACACTGGGCGCTCTTCGGTTGCCTGTTTCCCTGGATACGGGAGCCGCGAGCTCGTTTATTGTGGTCACCACCGGGTATGGCTCTGCCTCGAGTCAGGTCAGAGAGAGGCGTCCGAGCTCGGAAGGTGCAAGCCTTTCCGTGCTGTGGGGATAGAGTCCCCTCCCCTCGCCCCCCACACTCCCCCGCCAGTCAGGGTGCGTCTCCCTCTCGTGTGCCATGTGCAGAGTCCGAGCAGAGTCGTGGGAGCTGCTGACCCGGGCCCTTGTCCTGCTGGGGCCGGGGGTGCAGCGGGAAGAGCAGACGCAGAGACGGGGAGTCCTTCCCCACCTCCTCCTTCCGTCTTCTTTTCTTTTGTTGGGGGGGGGGCAGTGGGAGAGGTCTTTAAAAATTTGGGGGGTGATTTTTCATTTGGTTTTAATTTCGAGCTTGTAGGAGATGTTCAGGAGCGAACTCTTGAAGTCTTGGGTATCGTCTCCTCACGCGCTCCCGTAGTCTCTTACGGTCTCTCCTTACACATGTGTGTGCGCACACGCAGACGCACACACATCTGTGTGTGTGTATTTCTCTATGAGCCACCTGAGAGGAAATTGGAGGCATTATGCCCTTTTAGGCCCACATTTTCCAGTGTGTATTTCCTAGAAAACAAGGACAAACTCTTTAAACACCATAGCACGTTGATCAGAATCAAGAAATCGGACTTCGATACGGGGCTGGCATCGCCTCCACAGTTCACGCACAGATGTTGGCATCCGTCCGGGCCCCGGGCCAGGGCCACGTGATGCACGGAGCTGTCACAACGCTTCTGTCTCCTTGTTTCTAGAACAGATCCTGAGCCTTTGAATTTTGTAACGTTAACATGTTGGAAGAGCTCAGGCCAGTTCTTGGGTAGAGCGTCTCCCAGTTTGGGTTTGTCCGATGTTTCCTCATGATTGGATTCAGGCTCTGCGTCTCTGACGAGAAAGGTGAAGACGCGTGTTCTCATGTGTCACGGCGGGAGGCCCAAGACTGCAGCATGTTCTGCCTCTGGCCGTCGTTAACTGGTGGCTCAGGAGATAGAGGTGGTGTCCACCCAGTTTCTGTGTCCTCCTTTGCCCCAGACGTGAGGAGGGAAGTCACTTGGAGCCCGTGTGCTGTCATCAGACTGCCGCCTGCGAGTGTGGTGCCCGTTGGTTGTTCGAGTTGATCTTCTCCCGTGAAGAACGCTCCCTTCTCCATTATTTGCTTACATTTTGTTGTTGATTTTCATATCTGTATTCAAGAGGACTATTGTAGGCAATTTTGTTTTCCTATTACGTTTTTGTCAGATTTTAGAATCTGGGTTATTTGGGCCTTAAAAAACGAGTTGGGAAACATTCCCCGCTCTTCTATTTTCTGAAAGATTTTGTTCAAAATTGGTGTTGTTTTTTCCCTTACGTATTTGTTAGAATTCACCAGTAAAATCTGTGGTCCTAGGGTTTTCTTTATGAGATGGTTTTTGATAGCAAATCCAATTTAGATATGGCAATATTCAGATTTGTTATTTCGTCTGTGTCATTGGGTAAGTTGTGTATTTTAAGGAATTTGTTAATTCCCTTTTTAAAAAAATTTTATTTATTTATTTGACAGAGAGAGAGAGCACAAGCAGTCAGAGAGGCAGGCAGAGGGAGAGGGAGAAGCAGGCTCACTGCTGAGCACGAACTTGATGCAGGGCTCGATCCCAGGACCCTGGTATCAGGATCTGAGCCAAAGGCAGACACTTAACCAACTGAGTCACCCAGGCGCCCCCAAGGAATTTATTAATTTCATCTAAGTTGTTAAATATATTGGACTAATGTTGCTTATAATATTTCCTAATCCCTTTTGGGGAGCTGGGTGGCTCAGTCAGTTAAGTGTCTACCTTTGGCTCAGGTCATGATCCTGGGATCTTGGGGTAGAGCCCCGCATCTGGCTCCCTGCACAGTGGGGATCCCCCTCTGCCCTTCCCCACGCCTGCTCAGCTCTCTCTCTCTCTCTCTCAAATAATATATAAAATCTTTAAGAAGATACTTCCTTATCCCTTTCATACCTGAAAGATCTGTAGTATTTTCCCGTTTCATTTATGATGTTGGTAATTTGTGTTTTCTCCCAGCCTTTTTCTTGATCAGTCTTGCTCGGGCTTTATCAAGTTTATTGATACTTTCTTTTTTTGGTTTTGTTGATTTCATTATTATTTTCTTTTTCATTTATATCTACTGTTTATTGTTTCCTTCCTTCTATTTACTTCAATTCAGTGTGCTAATATTATTCTAGCTTATTAAGGAGGAAACACTGTTTTAAAGTCCATCTTTTCCCTTTTAAGCATGTAAAGGTTTTATGTTTCTATCTTTGTGCTGTATTGACCCTTTTATTAAGGGATTACCTCTGATAGTAATCCGCACATATTTCTATGTTGAAAGTGTTCTGCTTTCATTAGCATGGACGTGGGCCTTGATTTTGTATCCAGTTTGACAGTTTTTGCTTTTTAATTGAAGTCTTTATTCTGTTTATGTTAAATATAATTATTGATTATATTTGGACTTAATTCTGCCATTTTGGCATTTTTTTCCCCATTTATCTCCTCTGTTTTCGTTCCTCTATTCTTTCCTGCCTTCTTTTGGACTAGTGGAGTATTTTTGTAGTACTAGATTTTAATTCCTCTGTAGGATTTTCAAGAACCACCGTAGCCCCTGCAACAACATCGTCCACTCACTCCTTCCCCTTCTCTCTGCTGTTGTTTTCATACACATGATGACGCATACTCCCATTAGGGACCTGGTAATACAAATTATAAATTTTGATTCAAACAATTGAAGAAATTAAGAAAGGAGAAAAAAATAGCCTTTTATACTCACACTTTTACCATTTGGGTACTCTTCCTTTCTTTCTTGGATTGGAGTTTCTGTCTGGTATCATACTTTCAGCCTGAAGAACTTCAGTACTTTTTTTAGCTTGATTGGCTGAGGATGAGCTTTCTGTTTTTATCCAAAAATGCCTTTATTTTGCCTTCACCTTTGGCTGACAGTTTTACTGGATATTGACTTGTGGGTTGATTGGTTTATTTTTATTTTTCTGGCATTCCTTTAACATCTTGTCCTGTCATCTTCTGGAGAAGTCAGCGGCCATTCATACGGTACTGCATTTGTAGCATCCTTTTTTAATCTGACTGCTCTTAAGATTTTTCTTTCCATCTTGGCAGAATGAACACTCATCCTGCTTTGCATTTAGCAAACTCGTTAGATTTGTGTGTTGATGCTCTTCATCTGATTTTGGAAGTTTTGGGCTAGTGTTCCTCTGAGTACTTTTTTTCTGGACCATTCTCTTTCTCCTTTCAGCCTGGGGCTCCGATCACACAAAGCTGGGGTGCTTCCTTTTGCCCCATAGGTCTTTGAGGTTCTTTTTGTTGTTTTAGTCATTTTTCTCTCTGATGTTCAGATTTGATCATTTTTATTGATTTGTCTTTAAGTTCAGTGACTCTTGTCATCTCTGACCTGCTGGTAGGTCTACCCATTAGGTTTTTAATTTCAGTTATTGTATCTTTCAACTCTAGAATTTCCACTCTGACCTTTTTTTAGTGTCTGTATCTCTGTAATATAGAGAGTCATTATATGTTCTTTATGCTTACATTTTCCTCTTAATCCTTGTTATATTTACAGTAGCTTTTTAAAAGTCCTTGTCTAACAGTTGTGACATTTGGATCATCTTGGTATTGATTTCCATCGACTGCTTTTTTTTCTTTATTATGGGTCACCTTTTCCTGTCAACACATAGGTAGGTATTTTTAATTGAACACCAGACATTGTAAGTGATACAGTGCAGAGTCTCAGGATTCTGTTTTATTCCTCTAAAGTGATTTTTTTTGGGGGGGGGGGTAGTAGATGCTTATTTCATTTTATAAAGTACTCTAAAGTAATTTTTGATGTAGCAGACATGTGTCTCGTCTGGACTCTACCTCCCTGCTGTCCCCTTGGTGGTGAGCAGCTGCTGAAATCTCCGCTCAGTTTACTTTGTTTCTGGCCACTGCTCCTTTGCTGGGTGCCCTGGGAAGACCATGCATGTACAGTTTAACAGCCGGCCAGCCAGCCAGCCAGCCAGAGAGCTCAGCAAATTGAATACACAGATTTTGGACCTATCTTCCACATCTTTATCATTGTAGTTCATCTTTTTTTTTTTTTTTTTAAGATTTTATTTATTTACTTGACACAGAGAGAGAGAGAGATCACAAGTAGGCAGAATATCAGAGAGAGAGGAGGAAGCAGGCTCCCCACCAAGCAGAGAGCCCGATGCGGGACTCGATTCCAGGACCCCGAGATTATGACCGAGCCAAAGGCAGAGGCTTAACCCACTGAGCCACCCAGGCACCCTGTAGTTTATCGTTGAAGAATGACCTCTGCTCTAGCTTCTGCCTTTTGGTTGCTCTCCAGGGCTCTTAAATGGTAGTTTTTATTTTTTTTTTCAGGATTCTGTAATTGTTATGTGCCAGAGGGTATGTTGGACCAAGTTACTGTGTTATTACCAACAGGCTTGATTGATTCTTTTTTATAGTTTCCATTTCTTTGATGAGACTTCCTTTCTGTTCATGCAATTGACTATTTCCTATTGGTCTTTGAGTGTACTTAAAACAGCTGCATTAAAACCTTTTTAAAGTCTGCTAATGCTAATGTCTGGATCTTCTGTGAGTTTGTTTCTACTGACATTTTTCTTGGCTTTGGGTCACATTTTCCTATTTTCCTCTCATGTCTATGGATTTTTTTTCCTAGATACCTGGTTTTTTTTCAATGCTAAAAGTTTTAAATTTTAATTCCACTGTAATTAACACACAGAGTTATATTAGTTTCAGATGAACATTGTAGTGATTCAGCAATTCTATACATTACTCAGTGTTCATCATGATAACTGTAATGTCTATGAATTTTTTATTGCTTCTTATTAGCTTCCTGATGAAACACTGTAGAAACTCTGGATTCTGTTATTTTCTTCTGAAGAGTGTTGACTTTGTTCTAGCAAAGAGTTCAGATTCTCTTTCTTCTATAATAGCCAGCAGCTGAAAGCACTAAGTTCCTTCTCCCTTCAAGCAATTGACTTTTTCCTGTGAACCTCACTATCTCCTCTGTGTATGCACGGCTCCGAGTTCAGCCACGGATTAGAGTGGTATTTAATCACAGATTTGGGGGCTCTCCCTTTTTTAGCTCCCTCCTTCTTTCCTTCCCAGGATTTCTACCCTCACGTTTCGGCTGCTTTGGCAACCTCACTCTTCGTTCTCTGACTTTTCAGGCCAGTAAAGCTGTAACTTCTGCTGGGGTCCAGCCACACTGCGTAGCCATGCAGAACAGGGGGTGCACTTGGACAGAAAAGCAGGAGCAATGCACCTTTTCCCCAGCATGGCTCCTTCTAAGGATTTGCTTTCCGGTAGTTTCCACCAGCACTTGGTCACTCTCCAGGGCCGACCAGACATTTTCTTCTTGTTTTATTTATTTTATTTTAATTGCAGTATATTAACATACAGTGTAATGTTAATTTCAGACATACAATCCAGTGACTCAGCACTTCCATACAACATCCAGTGTTCATCGTGATAAGTGCACTCCTTCACCCCTATCACCTATTTCCCCATCCCCCCACCCAACTCCCCTCTGGTGACCATCAGTTTGTTCTGTATAGTTAGGAAGAGTCTGTTTCGTGGTTTTGCTTCTCTCTTTTTTTCCTTTGCTCATTTGTCTTAAATTTCACATATGAGTGAAATGATACGGTATTTGTCTTTCTCTGACTTACTTCCCCTAGCATTATACCCTCTAGCTCCATCCACATCATTGCAAATGGCAAGATTTCTTTCTTTTTGATGGCTGTGTAATATTCCTTCGTGTATATATGTGTGTATATACATGATATGCACACACACACACACACACACACACACACACACACCACATCTTCTGTATACAGACATCTATACAGTATACAGTCAGTGGACATTTGGGCTGCTCCCATACTTTGGTTGTAAATAATGCTGCAATAAACATAGTCTGTAGGTGCATGTATCCACTTGAATTAGTGTTTTTGTGGTTTTTTTTTAAGATTTTATTTATTTATTTGACAGAGAGAGAGAGAGAGAGAGAGATCACAAGTAGGCAGAAAGGCAGGCAGAGAGAGATGGGGAAGCAGGCCTCCCGCGGAGCAGAGAGCCCAATGTAGGGCTCGATCCCAGGACTCCGAGATCATGACCTGAGCTGAAGGCAGAGGCCCAACCCACTGAGCCACCCAGGCACCCCTGTTTTTGTATTTTGGGGGTGAATACCCAGTAGGGCAGTTGCTGGCTTGCCTACCAGTCATTTTTACTCTCTGAGCAGCTGTCACTGTGCATCCCGCCTCAGCACTGCGGGGTTTTGGTCATATCACTTAAACCTCTTGGAGTGTCCTTATCTGCAAAAGTGAGGATCGGCCATACCCAGGTCATAGGGTTTGGGGAAGGTGAAATGGTCAGTGCACACAACGTGTTCGTTGATGTTTCAGATGTACACTAGGCGCCTGGCAAATGGCGACGCTTGAGCCTTAGACGGGCTCTTATTGGAGTAAACCTTGAGGAATTCTTAGCCTTCTATTGATCCTATCACTTGACAAAACTCAAAGGAAGGTGTTCTCTGTGTTTACTTCCTGGCTGTTTTGGCCATATTTTGAATATCAGCTTTTGGAATTTAATTAGTGTTACGTGCAATACACGTGCTTTGGTATTTCAAGTGACTCTAATTTTTCTCTTATCTATATAGCTAATCTGCAAACTGGTTTCCGTGCTGAGTAAGAGCACCGTTGAACGCCTGCTGCTCCCTCGATTCTGCGAATTGTGTGGTGACGGGAAGTTCTTTCAAGTTCGGAAGGTTGGAACATACAGTCTCAAAACTTGAAAAATTCAGAACGTTAGACAGTTCAAAATTGTTTCCTTGGAAGTATCCTGACTTCTTCAGTAGATACAGGCTGGAAGAGACATGTGGCCCCTGTGACCTGAGTGAGGCAAATGTGTGAGCAGCGTTGCCCATTTTTACTGAAACCAGGGCGCACGTAGGGACCTGGAGACGAGATCCTGTGAGAGGAAGCCCGTTGCTGTTAGACATTAGACAAGCTCTGCGACCTTGCTGGTTGCAGTTAGATGCCGTCGCCCTGACATGCTTGGTCTTTCAATACCCGGCCTGCTTTGCTCTGGGACCCTCTTACCTTGGCCATACCCTCTAAAGCCAGCCCCTGCCTCCCTTTCCCTTTTAGTTGCTTGTTCATTTGGTTACCAGATTCTTACCTAACCCTTTCTAAGGCCACTAGACACTCCCCCAACAGCCTCCCCGTCCTCGTCCTCCCCCTCCATGCTGCGTGACTGGTCCTCTTCCCTCTGGTCTCTCCTCATGACTCATCGGCAAGAAAGATAGGCCTCATTTGCCATGCAGAGAATGTTAAGGGTCTCTTTCGCTTTATTGCTAACCAAATGCATTATGTATTGAGATCAATTAGGAGCCAGAAAGTGCAGGGATTTGGTACTGTGTTGTAAATTTTTCGGTTTCCAATGCACCGGAGGCACTAGGCTGGGCCGTGTGGGCGGCGGGCTCGGTAAGTGCCTGCTGGTCGCCCGACTAGAGGGGTCATTGCCCCCGAGGCTTCTTTTTAGCTGTCACAATTTGGTAAGACAAAAAGGAAGCAGAGAATAATGGGTATGCCTCTTGCCTTTTTTAAGGTGTGTGCTACAAATTTTGGTGATATTTGTCATGCCGTTGGACAAGAAGCCACTGAGAAATTTTTGGTATGTGAAATTTTGCCACTCGTAATTGCTATAGTGCATTTCTTAGGGCACTTTTAAAATCGGTTTGAAGTTTTATATTTATGAATCTGTTACTTTGGAATGACAGCTCAATTTTGCATTCATCAGTTCGAAATTTCTTGACTTCCAAAGCCAATATTTTTCATAAGTGTTAGGCAGCTGGTCCATGGAACAACATGGACGTCACCCCAGCCCACTTTCCTGTGGGCTTTTGCTGTCGCCTCCTAACTGGTCGCTTTCCCTGGTTTCTTCTCACTGTCGAAGCCACTCTGTCTCTTTTCCACTGCTCTTTCTAGAACACTGCTCTACCATCTCACTCCTGGTCATCAAGACAAGTGGGGTTTTTCTGGGTTACAGATTAAAATCCAGATCCTTTTTGGCTTTCCGGGTCCCCTCATAAGTGCTTTTCCAGCCTCGCCGCCAGCTGCCTTCCTCAGGTCTTAACACTGCGCCAGCCTGGGCAGGTCTCACCTTTGGCCACGCATCTGAATCATGGGATGGGCAGGGAGGCAGGGAGGCAGGTAAAGCCCAGGGGTCTGCATTTCTGATAAACCCCCTCGTGATTCTGATGCACAGCAGGGCAGAGAAACATTTCACTAGCCAGCGGGTGGCTTGTCAGCTCCCTTGAGGCTTCCTGCTTTTCCCCCTTCCACACCTCTGCTCATTACTGCCCCTCTCTTTCCAGTGTCTTCCCCACCTGGTGGGACCCAACTCACACTTCAAACCCGGCTTGAAGGTGCATATGCCTCTGTCAAGTTCTCTCCTTGTCTAGACTCATCTACCCACTGTGCCAGAGAGAATTAATTTCTCCCTTTTCAGCATCCCCATAACATTTTGCTCGGAGTACGTGCTTGTCTCTTATCACACCTCATTATAGTTTTGCTGATGTGGGATCTTCACCTTATCATGTTGATCTCTGTTTCTCTGGTGCCTACGCAGAGCTATGCTAACTGAGTGCTTACCACTTTTATTTGACAGGCTATCCAACCTGTATTTTTATTGGACTTTTATTGGACAGGATTTTTATTGGTCGGGACATCTAACCTGTATGGTTAGAATTTAACCTCAAAAGAGCATACTCTTTAAATTGATTTTTAAATTTAAGTTCAGAAGCTCATTTTATTTTATTTCAAGTGCAAGCCATGTCAACATAGTTATGACCCCAAAATAATTTGTTGTTGTTGTTCTGAATGTACAGCAAGTGTTGTCTTCCACTTAATGTAGCTGAAGGAAGAACAGCAGTGGCCAACATACCAATCTTCCTGTGGGCAGACATTTCCCTGAGTATATGTTCCCATTTGTGGATCATTTTGGCTGATGATTTTACATTAGGATATAAAAAACAGCCTCATTTTTAAATGATAAATTTTATTTATTTATTTATTTATGTGTATATGTATGTATTTATTTATTTATTTTTGAGAAAGAGAGCATGGGAGCGGGGGGAATGGGCAGAGGGAGAGAGAGAGAATCTTAAGCAGGCTGCACGCCCAGTGCAAAGCCTGACGTGGGGCTTGATCTCACGACCCTGAGTGAGATCATGACCTGAGCCGAAATCAAGAGTCGGACACTTAACCGACTGAGCCACCCGGGTGCCCCATTAAAGGATAAATTTTAAAAGACGATGTGATCATGACCTTCCTATAGATAGAAAGAGAACATGCCAAAGACTTTATTTAAGTCATTTATTCACGAGGGAAGCAGAACTCAAAGTGCCGCACATGTGCGGTCAGACCGAGGGACACCGAGATGACCTTGCAGGGGATTCAGACCTGCTCCGTATCCAGGGTGAGAATCAAGTGCATTCCGTGGGGCACAATTTGCATTTCTGTGAACAGGAATTATTTGCTTTACTATCAGTTTTTTACAATATACCTTCTATTACTAAAGGACCCCACTCAAAGATCCTACTGCCTGGATGGGTGAGCTAGTTGGGATATCTACTCGATCTCAAAGTCATCTCACAATTTTTCTCTATATAATTCACATAGCACTTGCTATATGAGTATTAGCCTTTTAACCAAGTCATTTATTAGAATTCAGAGGTAAAGGAAATGTTTCTTTATTCTTCTTACCATCATTTCTCTTTGTCTCAAATGATTCCTTTTAGACTAGTATATATTTCCCATATATTTATGGTTCTGCCTTAATTACATCATTAGAAAAGGTTCTGCCCTTCCTCAGGGTAACCAAGTTTGAGTAGCATGATTTTATTTGCTTTGGTAGATACCAAAGTTTTTTGAGCTCTGCTCAGACAGTGTTTGGGGGATGCGAAAAGCCTGCGCAGAGTGCTTCATGGCGGTGTCCTACAGCACGTCCCCCGAGGTCCGCAGAGCCCAGCTGTCACCCCTATTCATCAAGCTCATCAGCGACCCCTGCCGATGGGTAAGTGTGGGTGGCTCGGCAGTGCTGGCCGCCAGCCACCGCTCCCCGACCGCCTCAGCTTGGCCTCTGGCCTTGGGACTGTGTATTTTGTCTTTTTGGTTCCTACTTGGCTTACTTAGACCTCGTGGGGATCGGAGCACTTGAAATCTCCAAAGCCTGGGTGCCTGTGAAGAAGGTGGCGCGCACCCTCACGTTTGTAGCGACTGGCCATGAAAGAGCGGAGAAGTGAGCAGGGAAACACTAACTGGAGAGTTCCCTTCGCTGTTCCTTTCACACACATGCCCATCACGATCAGTAGTGGTCTGCTCAGGCGCTTTATGGAGTCTGGACTTATTTGATGTGGAGTTAAAATTCCAAAAGTATAAAAACTGCACTGTGGTACTAAGTTTTTCTTGATTTTCTGTTGCAAATAGTTGATTTGGGATTTGGAGGACAACTCAGACAGCAGTAAATCTGCTGGGACATAACTCGGCAGACAGCGACTTGCCCAGGCGGTCGGCCAGCTGCACGGTCAGGGGTCAGACCTGGCCAATGGCACGTTCACTGTGCTGTGCTCTCTGTTTGCAGGTGCGCCAGGCCGCCTTCCAATCCCTGGGCCCCTTCATTTCCACCTTCGCGAACCCCTCCAGGGCCGGCCTCTACATTCGAGAAGATGGCACCCTGAGCATCCGACCACCGGCTCAGGATTTGGACTCTGATCTCCCCTCCGGAGCCCCCCGTGCAGGCAGTTGCGGCAACACTTTCTCAGCCTGGTGAGCTCCAAGCAGGATAATTGCCAGGGCCCGCGTGGCACCTCAAGCGTCCACCTAAAATTTTAGCAATTATCTTGTCTGGAGTTTTAGTAACAGTGACCTTCTGGGCAAGATGGGATATTAGAGCTTTAATTATGTAAAGAAGCAAAAGTAATTGCAATAATGATTTTGAAACATGACTACTGGGTTATAAATAATGAAGCTACTGTGTCTCCTAAATTTAGATAAAATATTCATTGAGGGTAGTGATTAAATAACCTGTAAGGAAACTTTCTCTTACTTTTTGATTAATGAAGTTCTTTGGATAATTTACATAGGCAAGATGTGAGGTCTCCCAAATGGCTGTTTGTGCCCTTGTGTCACATGCCCGTAAACCCAGGATGTTATCTGCACGGACAGGTGACAGTCCTGACCCACCATTAGTGGATGCTATCCCGCCTTTCTAGTAAGTTCTAGTGATTGGTCTTGGAGTTCTTCATCTTTCCTCGGAGGTCGATGGGTACACACCAGCCAGACCGTCTGAGGTCATCGCTAAGCGGCTCTCCCTTGCTAATGTCCTAGCGGAGCCGGAGGGTAGTGACGTACAGCTCAGAGGGTATACATCTTTTCACCATTGGTGCTCCCTCCCCTCCGTCCATCTCCACCTAAATTCACTGAGCTCCTGCTGGTGTCTGGCCTGTGTGCGGCACCTCCTCCTCCGAACTCTCCCAGGGGTTTCGGTGGCTTTCGTGTCCCGGTGGCTGCCCCCTGGTGGAGGTACTGACGGCAGGGAGTGCCTGTATTCTGCCCACTGAGGCCGTGACTGCAGACGCCAGGGCTCATCCACCCCTTGGACAGAACGGAGAGATCGGCTGAACTTCTGCATGGCATTTTCAGCACGCATAATACTCCCGAGGAGGGGGGCAACGGGGGCTGACTGGACCTTTTATGCTCTTGTGAGGTTATGAGCTTCTGGCCCTAAGAGATTGGATGGCCAGGTAGAGAGGAGGACAGGGCTTGGGAGGATGTGGGGCTCACGTTTTCCCATTTTACTTCCAGTCCATTGCATGGCGCTAAAAGTACTCCCCTCCATCTTCCCTTAGTTCCACGAAGCCAGTACACATGGAGCCAGACCTGCCCACGGTAGGCACGCCAACGGGAACCGGTGATTTCCAGCGGGTCATTAGCTCTGATAGCCTCATGGCAGACTCAGGAGAAGACTCTGCCTTGGCTGGAGCCGAGTTGACCAGGCTTTCCCCAGAGACCAGTGCGTCCTTGAAGCTCCCTGCTGGGAGTGACCTCCCCGTCCACAGCCTCCCTGGACCAGGCTCCTCTTCCTGCCCAGGGGTTCCTGAGGATGTATTCAATAATTTCTTTTATTGGCGAACTCCTCTCCCTGACATAAGCAAGGACCTAGAGCTGCTTCTGAGTGAGGCTGGGCCCCAGGAGAAGGGCTGTAGCAGGCCCGAGACTGTGCAGCACAGCTGCGTGGCCAGGAGCGAGATTCAGAAAGTCCTTGATAGTTTGCAGGAGCATCTGATGAATGATCCCGATGTTCAAGGTAAGCATTGTTTCCTATGATGGAGGAGGAAACAGGGTATCTGGGGGTTGTGTGCTGGCCGCGCCTGCGTGTACGTGTGCGTGCGTGTGTGTGTGTGTGCTCCTTCGTGTCCGCTGTGCACAGATGGCCAGGAGAGGGTCTCTCGGCCTCAGCGCCACCGGAGCCCTGGGGACCTCTGTGCAGGGCAGCTGTGCGAGGCTGAAGGTCGCTCAGCTAGAATGGCAGGTAGCGTGGGGTTGTATCTGTAGCGCTGGAAATTTTATTAGCTCCTCGGACGCTCTTACATCACTTCCTATGTGATGGGGCATTTTCTAGGTATGAACAACTAAGGATGAGGCTCCTTTCAGAGCTTATTAACTCAGCCCTGAGCCAAACTTTAAGGTTTTTGTCTTTGTATAGCAAGGGAAAGTACAACTTCTTCTTTGGGGTGTTTTTCATGTTATGACTAGTGCTCCCACTGAGCGTCTGATCTGGGAGCCAGGCCTCACGATCCATATCCATTATCACGCCTCTTCCTGCTCTAAACGGTGCTATATTTGTATTCTTCCTTGGGTTGGGGAGATTGGGAAAAACAACACTTGCTGCTGTTGCCGGGCAAAGATTTGTGAAGCTTTCGGGAAAGGAAATGTGAAAATCAAGTTAGCTGTGATTATTCTTTCTCTTTAAATTTATAAAGGAAATTAAATCAATGGTTGCCGAAGGAATGAGCACCTGTAACATATCACTTCTAATAGCTATAGACAAAGGTCTGTTTTTGGAAACCACATTTCTAAAGTGGCGTTCATGTCAGTGCTGGGCCCCAGGCCGAGTGCTAGGCAGCAGTGACAGGCACATGGTTTCGTGGAAGGAGCTCCATACACTGCCACGAGCACAGGCTGTGGCAGGGGCTGGGACGGGAAGCAGTGTGACGCACTGTGCCAGCACAGGGCAGGATACCTGGGGCCAGAGGGAGTGTCCGGGAGAAGACCTTGCAGAGCGGGAGGCATTTCATGTGGGCCCCAAAAGATGACAGCTAGGAACGCACTGCAGAGAATGGAGAGGGATGAATTTCAGAGGGTTCCTTCAGGCCCTTGAAACCGTTTGTAAAATCTTGCATGTATGTGCGTGCCTCATTTCCATAGTTTTCATCAGAGCTCAGAGGGATCCGTGACCCCAGAAGTTTCAGAAATAAACAGCATGTTGGGGATTTGTGGACTGGCTGCAGCTGGAGACGTGACTCGGGCCATTGGGAAGGCCCTGGTGGGTTGCACTAGGGAGGTGGGATCTTGTCCTGGGCTGAGTAGGGAGTTAGCTACGAACTCTAAACATTTTAATGAATCTTGAGCTCTGTTGAAGTTAACTTGTAGAAAGCAGGATGTAGGCACTATTTTGTGTGTGTGTGTGTGTGTGTGTGTGTGTGTATCTGGAGACGGACATCAGATTGTTTTTACAGAAAGGTGTGTGAAATATGTCATCTCTGCTGTTAGGAGGGTCTCGGGCAGTCATGCTGTGGACAAATGAATAGTCGTTGGGGCTTGGTGAACGAGATCTGTACTCATTTCTGTGCACGGAGATGGATCGATTTCTGGGGTATTTGGTGGGCGGGGAGCAGGACCCCCTCACCGAGTGGGTGGACCTCCCAGACATTGGCCTTTGGGAACAGCGTGTTGTCTTTCTGTGAGAGATGATGGAGGAGAACTCTGATTGTCCTCATTGAGGCGTTTCGAGTTCAGATTTGATGCTCTGTGCATGGCTGGCGTTTAGTTGGAATAGTTAAAGTTAATGGCCGTAAATATCACCACCTCCCCGAGAGCTCATTCTGGGACTCCAGGGCCCGCCCACTGCCAAGACAGATGTGTTGACCGTGCGCGCATGTGTGGCGCAGCCGCTTCCAGACTGGCTTGTTGCAAAGACCCTTCTCGAGTGAATCCCTACAAACCAAATAAAGTTATTAAAATTCTTCAAACTTCTCTCCCTGCAGCTCAGGTCCAGGTCTTATCAGCTGCTCTGAGAGCCACACAGCTTGACTCTGTGGGTGAGCCCGAGCACCAGGGCACCAAAGGTCGGAGCGAGGAGTCCGTCGCAGCTCCCGGCCCTGCGTCTGACAATCGCACGGCTCCCTCGGCTTCCTCAGTGCAGAAGGAGCCCTCCGAGCCCAGGATGTTACAAAGCACAGTAAGCGTTTGCCCTGTCCCTCTGCCACGGAGGGCGTGACAGAAATCACAGAGCTGCATTTTCTTTTATTACTATATCCTGGCAGAGATGATAAATGGCAAATTTAATTTTATTCTTAAGGTCATGTTTTGGATAACTAGACAACCAATCAATCAGGTGATTGATAACCCTGACTCTCCTCCACCAAAACAGAGTGGGGAGACCCACAAGCACCTTCTTCTTCAAAGATGTCGAGTCTCGAGTCTTTGTGGGGATTGACCATGTATGTGCCAGTTTCCCTGTTGCTTTACAAGGCGGGTTCTGCGGCCCCTAGAGCTGAAAGCCAGCCTCGGCCTCAGCAGGCGGACCGCCACGTCCAGCCCTCACTCCGGAGACGCTCATTAGGCACGTGGTCACCCCAGTAGAGGTGCTGGCCTGCCGTTAGAGGAGAGACTTGAAAAGCAGCTGAGCAGCTTTTATCCTGCAGCCTGGAACTCGTCCTGTGAGGCAGGGACTCGGCATCCAGGAAGGGGAGGGGGCCCGAGGCTCGCTGGCTCTGGCAGTCTCCATAGCTCTCCGGCTCAGGAGGGCGGGAGGCTCTGATGCCTTCCTAACTCCTAGTGACTGGCTCTGACCGATTTGAGCTGGGGTCCTACCCAGGTCAGGGTGAGACTAGAGAATTAAAATCAGGGAGGGGTCCAAGATCATCAAGTCCTGGGCGTGTGGGCATCTCATTTCTTGTGCCGTGGTGGATCATCTCTTCAAGTCCGTGGTCTCTAAGGCCAGAGTACCGATTGTTCCACCATCCGTGCAATGGATAATTGGATCCTAGCAACAGAATGAACTTATCACCTCCCTTCCCGTCTAGGCCTGTGCCAATAAAACAAAACAAAAGACCCACTTAGAAGCCTGAATATAAAATGTTTAGGAGTTTGTGATGGTTGTCTTTGATTCGTATAAAATGAGGGGGTAGTCTATTTTGCTGGTTTATTTTCAGAAATAGGCAAGAAAATGGTTGTTACCCATGTTGCCTAGAATGTGGAAATCACAGGTTAGGTAGAAAGGCATGGCTGTGTCCACTGTGGTGGAGACCTGATCGGACTGGGGCTTCTTCGTCACGTGCAGAAGTGAGAGGAAGGGAAATGAGCAGATTCCTCCAAGTTGGCTCTGTTGCCTGAAGGATTTTTGAGCCGACCTTTGGTTTATGTTGTGAGATGTCAGGGCTCTTGAATTTGCGGCTTGATTCTTCAGTTCCACTGGGAGCAGTCAGAATGCTTCCAGTTGCAAAAGAAGGAAAAGGGACCAAAAAAACTCCCAGAGCTTAGTTGATGAGGATTGTGTCATCTCGCAGAGACGACGGAAGAGTGGCTGAGGCCGGGTGGCTGGTTAACGCAGCTCTTTGGCATTGACCCTGCTCGCTGCTTTTCTGCCCTGCCTTCTTAGCACACCACCTGAGTCTTGAGATGCCCTTTGCGGGGGATGTGGGGGGGGGGTGTTGGTTGCTTCTCACTGGTGTCTTTTGACTGCCCGGTAGCTTTTTGGGGAGACGACCTCACAATGCCAACTGCACTGAAAACTGTGGAATCAGATTCACTCCCGAAAGAACAGTGATTATTACACATTAATGTATATGAAGTTATGAACTTGGAGAAATTGAGGTCTTAGGTTATCATGCCCAAATATTTGTGTTTTATCCTGTCCTCTATTAAAATAAGCAGTATATTTCAGTGAAAATCTTGGGAACTGAAGGCTGTGGTAGCATGCCTCAGAGCAAACGAAGCATCTATCGGTGTATTAATCGACGTTCCTGGATCATATATTGAGCTGATTTGTCAGGATCCATTAAGCTGGTAGACAGTATGACATTTCAAGTGCACGTGGGAACCCATGTGATGGGTGGAGGAGAAGGTCAGGTTCATCTCCGCTAATGTAATCAATGACCAGAGACCGGTATGTCTCTGTTGAGTGTTCTTTCTCATATTAATTGTTAACCTACTGTAAAGGTTCATCAGCAAACATTAGAAGTGTTTGTACATGTGAAAATCGAGGATAGTTTTCCAGGTAAGTACTCCTTCATGGGCCATGTCTTCCCCCAAATTAGACAGGTCTTCCCCTTGTCTGTCTGTCCGCCCCGACGGGTCCACATTGCTTCGTGTCTCCAGCTCCCCAGAAATACTGGACGCGCTTGCTTGTCCTGCCGTCTGCGTGGTTTGTGTCTTTATTGTGTGACTCTTACAAGGGGGTTGGTTAACCATCCCAGGACCTTAGGCCTTAAAGAGTGGTCAGTGCAGACTCAAGTGGCGGCTTCTCACAGACATCCACCTGTCTTCTGTAAAGGCCTCAAGCAGTCTTGAGATGAAAAATGCATGGTATCTGTTTGCCTTGGCCCTTAAAATCACTGACCTCACCCTCCATACCTGTGCAGTTGTCTTTTTTAACATCTGGATAGAGACCCCTGACTCCCAGGGAAATGCTCGTCTTGGTCTGCAGCGGTCATTTCCAGCACCGAAAGCGGATTCTTTGAGGGAGAATGATAGGATGGCTCCATGTTTGGGGTAAGTTGGTAACGTGTCCGATCAACTCTGCAGGACCCCGGCCGACCCTGCGGTGGAGCTGAGGACGGTCTGGAAACGGAGCAGAGGCATCTCCCCGCCCCAATTAAGGAGAATAAGTCTAAATTACAGGTTTGTTCCTTGAAAAGAAAAGCAGCTCAAAATGTCACCTTTTCTGGGAGTTAAATTTACGAACGGCCATGGGAACCAGATATTTTTCTTCCGTCAATATTAATGACATATCTTCACTCCTTCTTTGTGTTGCTAATATTTCCTCTCTAACTCACTAAAAAAACAACAGATTTTAAAGGAGTGCTAAAATCTTTCGAACAATCTAGAACAGTATTTTAATAAAGCAAGTCAAATAGGAGAAACCCTGACACCTGTGCGTTGCGTTTGTATTTAGTGTCTATTTCTACGAGTCCTTTAAGGGTTGTTTTTTTTTGTTTGTTTGTTTGTTTGTTTTGTCGTAATCTGAAAAGTTTTTGACAGATTCTTTGACCTATGTTTGGCTTTGTTTTATCTTGTGGATAGGCTCTTGTGCTATGTAAGATGTCTTAAATGTTTGAAATTATCGTATTGCCTTGTCCTGACAGAAGAGAAGGTAAGTGGGTGATGTCCTAGGAAGGTGCTGTCCCGTCAGCTAGAAAAAGCCATTGACAGTCAGCGTGTCCCAGCCGGGACTCTGGGTGCTGGGCAGCTACGAGAAAAGATCAGATCGTTTCCATTCTCAAGAGCTGTATGCATCAGACTTAACCCAGCCTTGGTGCCCAGACTGTCCTCTGAGCCATCAAATGTTAGATGAAGTGAGAAAAGATGAGGTGGGCCTTGCTTCAGCATCATTCGGTCCAAGTTGAAAACTTCACCTGCAGACCAAGAAGGCCACCCATCCAGAGCCCCAAGCTTTCTGGAAGGCCTCGTCTTCCCCTGACGTCTCTGCTTTGTGGTTTTCTCCCCGAAATCCCAGACTCCTTGTTTCTCCCGAGCGCTCTCCTTCTTCGCTGCCAGCATGATGGTTTCCTTCTCCACTGTTTCCCAGGACATAATACCTCAGCCCCTGCTAGATCAGTACGTGTCGATGACCGACCCCGCTCGCGCCCAGACCGTCGATATCGACATAGCCAAACACTGCGCCTACAGCCTCCCGGGGGTGGCGCTCACCCTGGGCAGGCAAAATTGGCACTGCCTGAGAGACACATACGAAACGCTGGCTTCTGATGTGCAGGTAAAAGGAGCCCTTTCAGAGGCACCCACGGAAATGGGGCGGGCCGTCTGCTGGGGAGGAAAAGGGGAGCGCGCGGGGCTCACTGGCTGCAGGTGCTGTTGGCATATTGACGGGGCTCCGATGAGGCGAAGCCCTTGGCGGCCCGTTCCCAGGCAGCATCAGGTTTATTCTAGAAACGCCACTTAATCTTGGTAACGTGGCCTTGTGCTTGCTTTCTGCGGTTTGTCTGTCCTCCTGCGCACTGTCAGTGGAAAGTGCGTCGGACCCTGGCCTTCTCCATCCACGAGCTGGCTGTGATTCTCGGGGACCAGCTCACGGCTGCTGACCTGGTGCCCGTCTTCAATGGATTTTTAAAGGACCTGGATGAAGTACGAATAGGAATTCTTAAACACCTGTATGATTTTCTAAAGGTAGGAAGAAGGATTAAAAAGGAAAAACAAACCTTCCCTCTTCAAAGCAATTCTTAAAGCCCGGGCTGTGGAAAGAGTCCGTGGACAACCGGAGCAATAGTCTGGGTTTCTCGGGTTCATGGGTACCATCCGGAGGCTTGACACTGGGCATTCTCGCAGTGATGGGTAAATATTTTTTTATCTTTCCTCGTAATCTCCCCGTCCCTTGGGGTCCTAATTCTGTGGAGTATGGTAGACATGTAGCCTCGTTGGCTCTGTGAGGAGGAAGGAGCCCAGGCCCCCCGGGTCACACGCAGTATGCCGAGGGTCACCCAGGGGAAGAGCCCAGCCGAAACCCAGTGTCAGTTCTCTCTGAAGGGCTCTCTGCAAGACATTGCTGCTTCCCTGCTTGCCTTCTTAATTTTTTTCCTAAAGGGATGATGAGTGTAAAAATAAGACTTTAAAAATGACCTGGAGAAACTAATTACTTGCATCTGCATGACTACGAGCTGCCCTTGACAGATGGGGGTGCCTGATGCACTGGGCTTGGGCTAGCTTTCCCCTCGTGGTGCTGGCATCGGCGAGCAGAGCCAGCTCCCCGGGAAGCAGCAGTGGCGTTGTCTTCGGAACACACACACAGACGTGTTGTTTGCAGGCAGGAAATTATGAGACAAGGAAGAGCTGGGGGGCATGTGGAAACCCACAAGCACTCACCAGGGGGAGAGGTTGGAAGCATTCAGGGGTCCATGTGAGGGCTGTTCCCAGCAACGTTAATTCACAGCCACCCCGGGTGATGGATGGAGTTCAGGGCAGTAGGGGAATGCCCAGTTCTTGCCAGGGACAAGTGCAGAACTTCAAGGGTGATCAGACAGTATATTTGGGGTCATTTTGAGGGATTCTCTATTTTTATTTATGTATACATTTTTAAAAAATAGTTGCTTCATGAAGACAAGAGGAGAGAATATCTTTATCAGCTTCAAGAATTTGTAGTGACCGATAACAGCAGGAATTGGAGGTTTCGATATGAACTAGCAGAGTAAGTAAAACCTGTTTGGGGATCTGAGAAGGCAAATTAGATGGAATAATTCTTAATTTTCCTACCTTATAATTGATTTCTAAAGTAGCGGTAATAGTGTTCTTGCGGATAAAGAGATTATGTTTTTATTAAGGGATAAAGTGAATTCCGAAGCTCTAAGTTACAAATACCACGGTCTCCGGGGAGACATTCATTTTCAGATGCAGACAGGGCTCGAGTCACTGTGGAATTAGTGTGTTCTGCTGTTCTCTAAGGCAATTTATTCGAACCAAATAAAAGATGAATCACCCACTCTTCAATATTTTCCTGTTAATCGGAAGAGTTTTTGCCAGAGCTTTCCTGAACATTCTGAGCGCAGCCCTCTCTGCAGGGCACAGCGCGGCGTGTGCACTTCAGCTTCTAAAGAACATGACGCGACAGAGACAGACAGGGGAAGGTCTCACCCAGACCAGACGATTATTAGATAAAAACGTCGCCCAAGGTGGCTGCTCTCTGTGCGTCATTTTGTGTGTGAAGGGCTTATTTAATCCCGGCTTATGCTGGCCAGAGGGGTGCAAAGGGTGGGCGCTCTTCTCTAACAGCCACCGCTCTGAATAAGTCCCCAGCCCCAGGCATGCCCCGTGCTTTGCCACGTGCTCTGCAAAGTGCCCAGCGGGTTTGGTGGCCGTGGTGGGTGGCCGGGTGGCCATTTGCCCCTTGCCCAGGCTGTATCCCCCCAGCTTCAGTTTTCATTTTCTTACCCTCCACTGGAAATCTCTCCAATCATTGTCTTTGCTGTAGAAATCCATCAAGCTTTTGCAGCTATTCAGGATATGATTTGGCCGATGCCAGGGGCAAACTAAAAGATTTTCTCTTTGCTGTGATCTTTAATCATTATGCTTAATTTGAGAGATTGAGTTTTTAGTCATTATGCCGTGTTCCCAGCTTACATCGGAGACAAAAACAGGCCCCTGTTTTCCATGAAAGCCTCGCGCCCTCTAGCGGCCGTCCGCGGGAACTCGGCCAGGTCCGTCTCCGGCCCGGCGACCCGCTTCCCCGGGGCGGGCGGTGGGGGCGGGGGGTGGCGGCCGGGGGTTGGGGGCCGGGCCCGACTGACCCGCTTCCTCGGGGCGGGGATCGCGACCAAGGGACGGGGGCCGGGCTGACCCGCTTCCCGGGGGCCGGGGGCAGGGGCCCGGGGCCGGGGCCGGGGCCCGGGGCCGGGGCCGGGGCCGGGCCGGGCGGGCCGGCAGGGCTCGCGCCGCCGACAGCGTTATCTCGGAGCTCTGGCTATCTTCCATCTCGGCCGTGGTTATTGAAGCCGGACCCGCTGATATGAATTCCGGGCTCCCCCTGCCCGTGATATTGCTATCATTTTTCTGAAAACAGAGCTTTTCGATATGAAAGTATTCACCGGCACTCCTGGTTTCTGGTTCTAACTTCCTTCCAATCTCTTTTTCATTTCCTTTCGTTGCCAGCGTGGAGGTGATGCCATTTATTTTCCTCCCGCTCCCGCGTCCCGGTTTACAGACAGTGGAAGCCGCGGCGGCGGGCGCTCCCCGGGCGCGGGGCCGGCGCGCGGTTCTCCGCAAGCGGACCGTCCGCGCGTGGGAGCGCAGGCTCGCGCGGGGCAGCCCGCCGCCGGGGCCGGGCCGGGGCCGGGTCGGGGCCAGGGACCGGCGGGAGCTCGGCCGCCGTGGTCTGCGTGCCCGGTCTCTGGGAACTCCAGCGCTGCCTATTTTTACCTTATCTGATCTGCCAAGTTTTATGTGCTTTCCAGCCGATAACCTCACGGTGAAATATTATCCCTGCTCACAAATTCCTCGGCCTCTGTTTTACAAAGTGTGATTTATTTCCTCCTTGTTTGATTTGTTTGAGTGCGAGATGAGGAATGAAGATTTTTTTTTTTTTCCACTTTTCTTTGCATGGCATTTCACTCAGCTTCTGCTTTTGGCATTTCACCGACGGAAAGCCGTGCTGGGTCTTCTCTTGCCTTATCTCCCAGCCTGGCTGACTTTCCCTGTAAGACGAGATGAGAATAAAGAGAAATTAGTAAGGAGGTTGTTTTTTGTTTTGTTTTTGTTTTTTGTACCCCCAATAATATTTATTTATTTATTTATTAAATTTCAGACAGCTGATACTCATTTTGGAGCTCTATAATCCCAATGACGTTCATGATTACTTAATGCATATTGCCTTAAAGTTGTGTGCAGATAAAGTTTCTGAAGTTCGGTGGATCTCCTTCAAACTAGTAAGGAATCATGGCTTTTTTGTTTGTGATTTTTGGAAGTAGGAATATTTATTCCTTCCATTTTAACTTCTTTGTTTTCTGCCCTTGGTTTCTCTGGATACCTAGGAAACCAGCCTTTAAATTTTGAAATTAGTAAACTGTATTACAGTTTTATCAATACATAGCCTAGTTTTTTTTTTTTCTTAAGCTGTATGCTTCAGTGATAGAAATTAAAGATAAATCATTTTACATGAGAAACCCTTCAAATCATGGCTCAGTGTTCCCTTTAAACTCAGACTGGGCTTGACTCAACAGCATGGCTTTGTAGAAAAGCAGTCAGTGGGCAAGAGCTCCAACGTAGAGAGCTGGTTCTGTCTTACGTGGGCTCACACCAGCTGAATACTGTGGGGGGCGGGGTTGTCACTTGAAAATTCCATTTTACTAAGGTACTCTGATGCTATTACAATTTTACAAAAATGACATGTTCTGAAAGGTAATGATTTAGTTATTATGCAAGGGGCCATTTTCTAAAATTCGGAATCTTAGGATTAAGAATGTGTTTTTCTAATGCTGGGCCCTTTTTAAATTTTATTTCTAAGAAGGGTTTCACGTGGCTGAGTGTGCGTATGTGCATTGCCATGTACTTTAACATCCTTTCCCCTCTGTGTTCTAATGATGACCGTGACAAAAATTAACTTTCTCCCTTGCTTATAAATTCATTTTAAATGTGCATAAACATGTCTGGTTTCTGTGTTGAGTAGGATTCATGACTCAAATGGAGGGCGTTTTAAATGTGCTCTTCTGATATTTCCCACAGGTTGTGGCCATTTTACAGAAGTTTTCCTCCCACAGTGAGAGCGCACTGGGGTTGAGTTTCATCAGTGAGCTCGTCGTCAGGTTCCGGCACTGCGCGAAGTGGGTGGGAAGGCAAGCTTTCGCTTTCATTTGTCAGGTTAGCACTGCCTGGGGGGAGTCTCCCCTGGCCTTATGTTGCTGTGGACTGATACCAGATGCACCAGACACACAATCCCAGCCCTGAAAAACCAGCTGGGAATTTGGGGACCAGTGGACCGAACCCCTTTATCTCCTGGGAGACTGTGATCGGCCCAGTCAGGCAGTGATTGGCCCAGGGTTACCCAACCCGTCTGTGCGTTCGTCCTGTAGATGCTGGCTGAATGGTTCCTGTGTGCCGGGCATGTTCTAGAAGCTCCTGCTCTGCCGGCACCGTCCATCTGGTGAGGTGAGGCCGAGGCCCAGAGCCCCGCATCTGCTGTGCCTGGTCCAGGGCCATGGTCATCCCGGCACCAGCCCTCAGCCGGCTGCCTGGGAGGGAAGGCGGGGCCAGGAGCGGAGCAGTAGGGCAGAGCTACTGAATCCCTCTAGAAGTTCATGTCAGCCTGTCCAGCACCTCACGTCACCCTCTCCACTTAGTGTCCTGGAAATGGGGCAGGTTCAGTTTTGCTGGGGCTGATGGCTGCCATTTCTTGGACTCCTCCGTATGCCAGGTAGCTCATCACACACCTGGTCCTCAGTGGTAAGATCGGCCATGGATCAAACACGTCACACCCATGTACTTTCAGACCAGGTGTTTCGGGTGAAGCAGTTGAAGCCCAGAGAGGTTAAGTAACTTGATCAAGAGTGCACAGCAAGTGTAAAGCTAGGATTTTTTTTCTGCTAACGTGTTATTTAAAAACTTTTAACTTTTTCCCCATGCACATTTTCAAGCATGTACAAAGGTGGGAGGAACAGCATGGACTCCCCATGAACCCATCACCCAGCTTTGCCAATATGACAGTAAAGCTGTTACTGGACTCTAGCTGACCCTCACACCCTCTTCCCCCACCAAAGGACTCACAGGGGCCCCCTGTCTGGCTGGCGGGGCATCACAGGGTATTTTGGCCCTCTGCTTTGAACCGGCAGTGGGTGGCCAAGTGAAATGCCAAATTCCCAGACCACAGGCCTCCCATCACAGACTTCTGTAAGGAAGACGCCAATCCAGTCATTTTGTGGAGAAAGGGGTAAATGAGATATCTTTGCTTTTGTTTTTTAATTCTTGATCTGAGATTTAGAAAATCCATGATGAGACAAAAGGAAAAAAATACCCACTAATTTTCTTCAGGAAAAAGGAGAGTGTATGCACTTTCACGAATTATTAAGGATTTAGAAAACCCACGATATGAGACAGACCAAAGGAGAGAGGGGGGTCACTTGATGGTTATTTCTGTGCGCTCTGGGGAGAGAGCCTGACCTGGGGGCTGGCGAGGGTCTGTGCTGTAGAGGGGACGAGCCGCTACCTCTGCGTGGCCTCAACTTCTGAGAAACCATTCGTGAACACCTGGTGCTCTTGTCACCCTGTGGTGGGAAGGTCTGCAGGACTTCGAATCCACAGGCCTGGCTGGGACTCGGCCCCCGCTGGTGCTCACGGACCAGGCGGCCTGTGGGTGGCACCTCACGGGACCCCAGTTCCCTGCCCTGTAAAACTAGGCTCATTCTGGCTTCCATGGCCCGCAGTGAGACGCAGGGTTCTGTCAGGGTGGCAGGGTGCAGATGCTGCTTGTCCTCACAGACACGGTGTTTGTCAGGGGGTCACAGAGAGGGCCGGGCCCCCACTGGAATCTGGGGTCGGGTGGCCCTAGACAGGCCTGGCACCCGAGTTCTGGTGACTAGCAGAGGGGAGGGCTCTCAGCCTTCATTGGTGGGTGCTTTGCTAGATTCTTTGCAAAATGTTCTGCCGTCCCCACCATGTCCCCCTCATGTAGATGGGGAAACCGAGGCCCAGACAGGTGAAGCCGCTTACTCCAGGCCATGAAGCCAGTAAGTGACCAATTTAGTTTTGAAGCTAGGCCTGTCTGACTCCGAAGCCTTTATTTTTTCATCAGATTTCACACCACCTAGAACCCAGTCTTTGGTAAGGAATTAGAAATTGTTAACTGTGTTTCTAACCAAATTCAGTGGTTGAGATTTTAAGATTTGGGGACACACACACACACACACACACACACACAGACTCCTCAGACCCGCAGATCCCGAAATTACTTCTTTGGAATCGTGGAAGGGTATGTTTTTGAAGAAACCTGCTGACCACCGTGGAAAAGTGTCGATTCCGCGGCTGTGGCTGTCGTGGCAGGCGGCGGCGGACGAGGAGTGCATCCCCGTGGGGCAGTTTGTCGAACACTTGCTCCCCAGCCTCCTGAGCCTTGCCTCTGATCCGGTGCCGAACGTGAGGGTTCTGCTGGCCAAAGCTCTGCGGCAGACGCTGCTGGGAAAGGGTATGTGGACCGTTTCTCCGCACTCACACATCTTAAGGCTCACCAGGCAGGGCACTGCCAGACTTCCTCTCTAGGAAATTGCACGCACGCTTCAGACTTTCCTGTATGAATCCATGTATTAACGTTGATGCAGAATAGTTTGTTATTTATAAAATGGTTGAGTTTTCACATTTAACGAGCTTCACGCTAAAATGCAGAATTTCACACAGTCTTCCAGAAATGGGGAAGAGTTTTGTAAATGTTAACGATGCAGAGAGCATGAATGGCAGCAAACGTCAGCCTTACTTCCCGGGAGGTCTGGAAGCGATCACCGTGTCCCGAACAGGACGGATTGGGAGACTGTGTCCCTCAGCCGGCGCAGTGGCGCCTACTGCGTGCGCGGAGCCCACCGCGTCCAGCCCGTCCCCGCTTCGCACCCCGCCGACCCCCCGCGCCCCTTCCTGCCCTCCGCGCACGTGCAGTTCTTGCCTAGTGGAGGAAAGGAAAGATGACGTGGCAAGTTTTTAAATTATAACTTGAAAAATACGCATACCGGCTCTCGGGAGTCCATCTTTGAAATTTAGGAAGTTATTGTGACGAAAGTCATCGTGGTATCACTGTGAAGGCCTCATGTGTCCGGTTATGCTATGCAAGTGCTTCCTTGTCCTGAGGTGTGGTTGGCAGAACCCCCAGCACTCAGGTATGTTTGGGAGCACGGGGCACGGGCATGTGAGCCAAACTCCTGTGTTCTCTCTCCAGCGTACTTGAGAAATGCCGGTAACCCTCATCTTCAAGTCGTTGAGGAGACCGTCCTGGCCCTGCAGTCCGACCGGGACCCGGATGTGTCCTTTTTTGCCACCCTCGAACCCAAGCGTCGGGGCACCGCAGACGCGCCCCTGCTGGAGGAACGGAGTTAACCGCCCTGGGCTCCCGCGCACCCCGGGCCCACCGCACGTGGGCGCAGACCTCTCGCCCCCGCTTGTCAGGGGTCTCACCGTGTCATACCTTCCGAGGGAGGAAAGAGCTCTGAAACTTTGAGGACAGGCACTCAAATGACCTCTTTCCCATGCGCAGCCCCAGGGACTGCCCCGGGGACGGGCACCACCCTCTGCGCCCCTGGCTGCTGACCTGGAAGCCTGCGACCCGGTTGTAGGACCAGGTGGCAGCTGGGCACGGGGGTCCAGATCGCCTTTTCCATGACAGACTGACGATGATTTAAAGCCCCGTCCTCCCAAAATAAAGTAGTTTATTAGAAGCTTTTAAGTCTTCCAGAGACTTGCATATTTGGCTTCCCTCATGCTTTCCTGTAAAATACAGTTTATGGTGTTACATTTTATTTTTAACAAATAATGTACATATGTAAATAACTCTTGACAGGAAGAAAATATACTAACATAATATCAGCCTCCTATCAGTGAACAGAACAAATACATCATTTAAATTTATGCTCCACTTGGAGTTGCTGCAAATATAGCCCAATTAGTTTACTTTTGAAAAATGTGATAGTTAAGGCAATCTGCTGAAGAATGATTTATGGCAGCCTTTCTAATATTGTACTTTTGTGTAAACTGTACTTGGAACTTTTCCTCAGGCACTTATCCCTCCCCTTCTTGCAGTGACTATCCGTAAAGATCCGTACGGGCCTTTGACAGAGGCAGAAAGAAAGATTTTTCATTCTTACATGGATTTATTATCCTACGTTTAAGAATGTGGGAGGGAAATTGATCATTGAGATGCGGGATATTGACTTTACAGCTGATGCTTCAGGATCTTTAGCGGAGACTAGGAACCCGCAGTCCCGATCAGTCCGCACACTTGCCAGGGATTTGGGGGTTAAATTATGGCGCTTCAGATTTCATTCTTCTAAAATTTAGACCAAGATGCTCTAGAACTTAAACGGTTTTCATGAATAACTTGAGATTCTATAAACGTTTCATTAAATTCTGTATAATGTGTAGGCTCATGTTATTTTTCTTCTATTTTTAATCTTGAAAGCAGGCACAAAGGAAGGAAGGAGTGGCCCATTTGGGGTTCAAGAGCTGGCTGCAAAGGGCACGTTGCTATTGCCGTTCTTTCCTTGGATCTTTTTCTTGTACTTCTTTTCTTTCTCCCTTTTCTTAAAAATAAAATTTCTGGAACTATATATTGAATTTCCTGGTATACAGGATATTGTCCCCCTCCCCCAAGTTCCACTGAGCTGATTCTTTAAAAAGAAAGGAAGGAATCTATACCGTGCCAAAGAAAATAAGGTACATGTGTGAGAATTTCAAATTGTAACCCAGGGTGGCATTTGGGCAGCCCCAGCAGAGCGTGAGCTTATAAACCGTGGAGGCTACGTATTAAGAGAAACAAAAATCAGTCAGTCCGTCTTGTGTTCAGTATTTGCCTAAAGTAAATAGAAGGAGATACTGTTTTCACTTCAGTGACAGATACATTTTAGCCTTTTTTTTTTTTTTTATTGTTTACAGATCGAGGTTGTCAGATTGTTAAAATCTGTTGACCAGACAGCAAGTACAATTATTACCTGGGATTTTGTATTCTGTGCAGAGCTTCGCTTTCCACTAAGGAAAAACAAACCATCTCAGTTTGTGTTGCGAAGCATAGAATTTGCTGAAACAGATGTGCTTGTAGAGATTTGTAGACTCTTTGGTAAATAATCCAACCTTAAAAAAAAGTTGAGTTTACTAAAAATGGTCTATAACTTAATATGAATGCCTTTCCAATGCAACTTTTTTTTTTTTAAATGACTGTAATTTCTCTGCAAGAAGTATGTTTAAGGCTCACGTTTTATTCATGTTTTGTAACAGCTGAGATTTTTCTGAGGTCGTTCAGCTCCCCTCCTTGCCTTCCTTTCTCCTGTGCTCCTTCCCCCATCACTTCAGCTCTGTGCGTGAATCGTTCCTAGGTGTGGGGCGCTGAGTGTTTGCGATTTGATCATCACACGTAAGCTTCCTGTGTACTTGAACACTCGGCCTCCTCTTGGGTGAATCAGTGGAAAACCACGAGGTGGGTTTCTCGCAGATGGAGCTCCCTTGAAAGGCATCTTCACAGGGTAGCCGTCCCAGCCCCGCGCCGAGTGGATGCTTCCTCTCTGCTAGAGTTTTCACCAGCAGCTTTCTCCCTCCGAGAATTCGAGAGCATTTTCAGAACTGATGGGTGTTCATGCGGCTCTGCAGACCCTCACGAAGGCCCGGCTCCCGCTTCCGGAGCGGCCGGAGCGCCGGCCCGGCTCCGTGGGGTTTTCCACTCGTGCCAGAATAGGGCTGCTGAGCGCCGCTGTAGACCAGCCCGACCCCTGTAGACGAGGCGCGCCGGGAGGACTTAGGGCGTTTCCACTCCAGGCCCTGGGCCCTGAGTTACGCAGACTATTGCGAACGGCCACGGCGGCCTGTGACCTGGAGTGAGGTCACCTGTGACAGGGCAGTGAGTGACCTGGCCTCAGGTCGCTGCGCCTCCAAGCCCCAGGCCATCGGGCCATCCGGGACCCCAGGGCGGTCCGCCGGGCTCTGTCCCGCGCGGGGCGGGGGGGGGGGGGCGGTGACGCGGGTGGTCGGGGGCGGGGGGGGGGGGGGGCCCGTGGGGCGGGGGGGGGGGGGGGCAGGAGACGGGGGAGGAGGGCATGCAGCGGGCAGGCGCTGCGGGCGGCGGAGCACGGGCGGGGGAGCCGCCGGGGGGCGCCCTGGGCTCGGACCCCGTGGCCGGCCGGCGGGGCGGGCGGGGCGGGCGGGGCGGGCGGGGGGCGGGACCGCGGCCCCTCCCCGCGCAGCCCCGGGCCCGCTCCCCACGCCAGAGCGGCGTCGCGGCTCCGGAGGCCGAGAGCCCGGCGCTCAACTTGGCCCCAGACGCCTCCCCAGAAGCCTTCGTCATGCGAGTGCTGCTGGAGGAGACCGGGGAGATGTTCCAAGTGACAAACTGCCGCAGCGACATGACGGTGCGGGAGCTCAAGGAGGAGCTGGACCTCACCGCCGGCATCCCCTTGGACCTGCAGCGGCTCCAGTACCTGGACCAAGGTGACCCTGCCCACCCCCTGCCCTCGCCACGTGTACGGCCTCCGCCGGGGCGCCGGGTCTCCTTCTGACCCTGCGGCCCCTGAAGGGACGCCTGCCCGCGTGAGGACTCCCCCACCCCCACTCCCAGGTGTCAGAACAAACCCCACCCCGCCCCCTGGAAGCCCCCAGATAGGAAAGCCAGCCTGGCCGCACAAGGACTTCCCAATCTTGACAAATCGGGTTCAGGTTAGACCTCACATCTAAAGGCAGACCCTGTCCACAGCAAGACCTTAATCCACAAACAAATCCGGCTGAGTCAGGACTCTCCTCCCAAAGCAAGCTGGCTAGTCAGACCCGCCGACCCTGAGCAGATCCTGGCGGTGTTTCCGACCCCAAATCTCCACAAAGGCGCTGCCCCCTCAGCAAGACCCCTCCGGCCCTTCAGCTGCCAGCGTCTTCATCAGGGACCCAGATCCCAAAGCCCACAGGGTCCACACAAGACCGGAAACCTGAAACAAAGCCTGTCCTCAGTGGGACCCTACAATCTAGGGCAAACCTTCTCCCGTCAGAACCCCAAACTCAACGCAGACCTCCAGATACCCATGTTGGACTCATAACCGCTCCCCACAGTCCTCCAGCCAGCTATGTCCACACAAGGATGCCAAAGCCTGAAGCAAACTGTGCCCAAGACTGAACCCCAAATCTCCAGCATAACTACAACTACCTCAGAACCTCAGATCCTCTGGCTGACGGGTCTACACAGGGACACTGAAGCTCAGAGCAAACCATGCCCACTTCAGGGCCCCCAAGCCCAGAGCACACCTACCTAGGACTAAACCCCAAATGACTATCCCAGGATCCCAGATTCTCCGGCAACTATGTTCATGAGAGGACACTCTGAAACAGGCACTGCTCACCTCAGGACCCCCAAACCCAGAACATACCTGCCCAAGACAACCCCAAATCTCCAGACTAACCATGACTACCTCAGACCCTGATCCTCCAGCAGCTGCTTCCACGCGAGGATGCCAAAGCTCATGAATTCTGCCCACTCGGGACTTCTAAACCAAACACGAACTTGGCGAAGATTGGACCCCAAATCCCCAGGCTAACCATGCGACCCTCAGAACCCTGAATCTTCTAGCAACCGTGTCCACTGAAGGATGCTAATGCCTGAAACAAATTGCCCACCCCTGGGCCCCATAACTTTGTGCCAGCCACACCCATGTTTGGGACCCAAGATAAATACCCCAGACTACCCCTGCTTGCAACAGAAACCTGAATCCCAAAGCAGATTCTATCCAGAGCAGGACCCTAAATCCGAGAGCCAACAAACCCAATTCTGAGCCCCCAGTGTCTGACTAGTCACTTGTGCACCCAAACCCCAGTCCATCGGCCATCTCTGTCTAAATGAGGATGCCAGAACCCAAAATGAACTCTTCCCACACCTGGAAACCACTTCCCAAGCTCACCATGACCATCCCAGAGCACTAATCCCAACCAAAATAACCTCACAAGGTCTCCGAAGCATGAGACAAACTCTGCCCACAATAAGACCCCAAAACTCACACCAAACATACCCATATCTGAACCCTAAATCTTATGCAAACCATGTTTAAGCCAACCATCTCCATGTAAGGAAGCCAGAGTTCAAAGTAAGCCTTGCCTCCATAAGGACCCCAAAACTTGAAGAAAGCTCTACTTGTATTTGTACCCCAAATCCCTCAGCCAGTCTTATCCACACCAGAACCCCAAGCTCTAGATCAAATCTTGCCCATCTCAGGACCTCGAATTTCAGAGCATTCCCTGCCGCCACAATTCCCAAGGCTGACCTCTCCGATTCCTTACCCTCGGTGGCTACAGTATACAGGGCTACATTAGAACCCCAAGTCCCAAAACAAGTTCTGCCCATGCAAGGACTCCACATCCCAGAATAGACCCTTCCTATACCAGGACCCCCAGACAGAAAGCAAATCTTGCCTCATCAGAATCCCACATCCAGAGCAAACTCTGCCCTCATCAGGACCCCAAATCTCAAAGCAAACCCTACCCACATTTGAGCCCCAAATACTGGCACTAACCCAGTTTGTATCAGAACCCCGAATCTAAAGCTGTGTCCTTGTCCACGTCAGGAGCTCAAAACTAGCCCAATTGGAATCAGAACCCAGCACCAAAGCTCGCTGGGGCTAAATCAGGACGCCGAGGCCCCCTATCCAGACAGATCCCATGTGGTTGGCACCCAGTGGAGGGTGAGGACTCTAGAGTCCCATCTTCCCGTCCAGCAGTCTACATCCCTCAGCCTGAGGACCTGGCTGTCCCTGTCCTGATCCCTACAATATTTAGGATATGAGAACAGGATCAAAGCCCCTGGGCTCCATCATCTCCCCACCCGGTTGAAATCAATGCAAAAATACTTCAAGGAGACGGAGGTATAAAAAGCTCTGGGCTGCAGCCCAGAGGGTGTGGAGAGCGATTTGCAGAGACACTGTGGCTGTAATGCAGAGCCGGGAAGCGATGGAGACAGGCAGAGATCTGAGATCAGCCTGTCTCCGCTCTCCGTTACCACAGACACTGCCCTTCCGGGGCTCAGTTCCCTAAGCCGGAACGCGGAGCCTCGGGGCTCTGGACTTCGGAGTGCCAGGTCCCCCTCTAGACGGGGATGACTCGGGAAATTCAAAATGTCCATTGAAGGCCAGAATACCTTCCTTTGCTCGCTCTGGTGTAGGCTAAGCACCTTCTGTTGACATCCTTATTTTGCTATAGGGGTGTTTGGATGCTGCTCTGGGGCATTTTGGGGGCTTTATCTGGAAAGAAGTATGTATCTCAAGCCTGGTCTCTATTTAACACGTTAATAACGATGAGGTGAGCTGCTGAAGGACAATAAGTGTTCCAAAACAAGTAATTCGGAAATTATGGATCCTGAGCTACAAACGTCTGGCACCCCTTCTGCTAATTTATTTTCCCCGATGAGCTATGCTGAGCCATAAATTCGAGAGAGCTGAGAGGCAATGGAAGACACCCAGTGACTTGTGCTGATGTCACAATCCTCTCACTCAGCAAGCACTTAGTAACTGCGAGAAGCTTGACCTCTCCTGCGGCCGCAGCCCTTCCTGTTAACGGCAAACAAAAAGGAAAGAAAGAAGGTGCTACTACGTTGAGTAAAGAAAATTTGGGTTCCTGCCTATAAATAACCCGCTGACGCCTCTTTACCCACCTAGAGGTTGTCGGGCAAGCTCACATGAGCTAACGTGTATGTGAAAACCGTGAGAGACAAATCTAAAAGGGGTGAGCAAAATTCATGGACGAGGGGCAACCTTATATGTCTGTTGTCAGCTCTAATAATTTATTTAGCTGGTGATAATTAGTATTTGTGTAAGCCAAAGGCAGTTGCTGCGGCCTATAAAGAGAGAATGTGCTCTGATTTCTCCAAGAGCTGTTCAGCATGTGTGAATCGCACTCTTGCCTTTCTTTGGGAAACCCAGCTTTACCCAGTTTTTTTTTTTTTTTTTTTCAAAGTTGTTAGGAAGTCAAGTTGTCTTGCTGAAGACTAATTACTGATTATCCTCTGTGTTAGAACCACAAATAAGACCCTAATTAACAAATTTGCTAATTGCTATTCCCTGTTCTCATCCACCATCCGAAGTTTCTCAGAAGCACCGAAGGGGGCCAGCGGAGCCGAGAGCGACACGTGCGTGGCGCTGGAGGGAAGGCGGGTCTGGGTGGAGGGTCCTGGGGCTGCCATTTCCTGGCCGCGGGATCCTCAGCTGCCTCACCGGGAAACGGAGATGACAAACCCGGCTCGTCATGAGGGTTAAAAGCCTGTAGGTGCTGGGGCCGGGCACTTAGTAATCCCTCAGCCATGAATCCAAACAACTCGTGAATTCTACCTGGAGTAATGGCGGCATCACTTGTAGAAAAAGAAATTATGATGTTATTCTTAAGCAGGATTATAGGGGGCTGCGTGAGGAAACGGTGTATTTAAAAAGGCAAACTAAAGACAACTTTGCGGAAAATGTTCTCGAGTCCTACAGTCTGTCACTCCGACGGTCTTTCCCAGAGGGTCTGAGCATATGGAGTGCGAGTGGATCCACTCACCCCATCGTCTCCAGTAGTGGAGGGGTGGTTCTGGGTGGTGAGCCAACAGAGTTCTAACGTCCCAAGTCCAAATCATGCTGAATGGCAGCCTTACAATTCTTCCATTACCATAAATGCTCAACGTGGGCAACTTTGTCCCCTAGGGGCCATGTGGCAATGTCTGCAGACCTTTTGGATGGCCACCGCTGGGTGAGGGTACCACCGCCATCTGCTGGGTACAGGCCAGGGATGCCGTGCCCAGGGCAGCCCCCCACCCCAGAGAACGACCCAGTCTAAAACGTCAGTAGTGCCAAGTGGGAAAGAAACCCTGGAAAGACCCAGCACAGTTTTGCCATTGTTACATCTTCGGCCAACGGCTGACAACACTAACCTGAGATTAGTGTTTTAGTTTCACGTCTGGCGCACGTAGGTCCGCTGTGCTGCGTCTGTGACGTTCGCTTCGAGAGGTCCTATTCATAGACTTTGCCTCATAAAAAGACTTTACTGACTCATGTGTCTTTTCTTTTCTTTTCTTTTTTTTTTTTTTTTTTTGCCATAGAACGAGTTATAATTACAGAATTTTAGAAGCTGTTGCCCTTTTTTTGTCGTGTTTTGTTTTGTTTTGTTCTGGCTTCTGTTTGAGTTGAGCAAATTAAGTTTCTAAAAAGCACTAACGATCCCAAACAGACTCCCGTGGGCTCATCACAGGAGATTAGCGCTCAAGGCTTTCAGATGATCTTTGTGATACCCGAGGTCAGATCATCTCTTAAGATAACCAGTGTAATAGTTTATCTTTAATACCCATTTTTTTTAAAGTAAAAATTATTCCCAGTAGGAATTTGGATGGATGATACTACGTTGCAGTTCCATGATGTTGTTCCTGGTGGAATTATTTCATTATGTGTCTGGCGCCATGATGGATGGACGGAACTGGTTTTGGCGGCTGTGGAAGGGGATCCCAGTAAGGTGCCCTCATGTGTCTCTAAATGGGTATCAGACTTCACAGGGCAACTGTAAACTCTGTGTGTGTGTGTGTGTGTGTGTGTGTGTGTGTGTGTGTGTGTACAGGGTGGGGTGGGATTCAGTCTCGAATGTGAATCTTCGAGTAACAGTTCCAGAGTAGGAGAAAAAGAGGCCACATGTCATAATGATCAGACACTGTATCAAGAGTTCCCACTCACTCTTGGGTTTGCTGTTTCACGGTGCTCCCTTACAACCCACTCCCTCCGACCCCTGATCCCCACCGAAAAGAAAGGAAGGAGGGCAATGGGCAATGGATTTTCTAGTCACACGTATATTTTGTAAAGTTGAAAACCTGATTTAACAGTGGGCGAAGAGCTCAGAGTAACTGGGAAATGCACAGTCCAGAGCACGTGACGGGGCAAAAATCCGAGTGGGGGTCTGCCCCTCCCCTAAGGAGGAAAGATCACGCACTTCTCGACACACGGCAGGTGCCAGCCCTTTGCCAGACCTTGTGCTTGGCTCTCAGCTGAGCTCTGGGGTGGGCAGCGGGGAGAAGGGAAGAGGAAACCAGACCGTCTCCCCAACAGAGAAGCGAGGAGCGGGCGGCGGGAGGCCACTGAGGGAAGCAAGTGTGTGTTCTTTCTAGAAAGTACATTTGGATGAAAGGGTATGAGCGTATGAGGACAGGGTTTACTTTCAGCCAGGAAACGGGTCAGGAAACGCTGGCTGCAGGAGGGTTGTGGGGATCGGGGATCCGGTCTGGGAGAGGTGAGTGGTCTCTGGGGAGGCAGGGCCAAGACTGACGGCGGCAACCCCCTGCCTGTGTGCGGGAGCCTTAGAAGGAGGCATCCCAGACGTGGTGCGTCCCCTTCCAGGTCCTTCCCTGGGGTTGTCCTGCTCCCGGCCTTTCCCTGACCATGACCCCCGCTACCGAGGACTCGAGTCCTGCCTCAGTTTTCTGGCTCTTGCTCTGAACCTGGGGATTCCCTCCTGTCTCCCACACTCTGGGGCTCTGCCTCCCCCCACTGCCGCCCCCACCCCCGATGCCCTGCATCTGGGATGGAGTTCCTCTCTGCCGGAGTCCGCAGCCCTCCTCTCGTGCTCAGGGCCTCGCTTCACCACGAGATGATTATGTTACGGGGCTATTTTTCATCCGTGAGTGGAGTTCAGAGTGTTCCAAAAGTTAGTGGAGACAATGGGCCCGAAAATAGATCGGAAGGCCAGAATTCATCCAGTCTCCAGAGAAGTGCATTTCCCCCTGGGGAGGCCACTTCGTGTCGTCTGGCGTCTTCCTTAATGGCCACAACCACCTTCCTCTGGACACCCAGAAAAGCTATTTTCTCTCTTCAAAACACCAACAGGAAGAACTTCCTGCCTCCCGAGCCTGCCCGATGGTAAATGCGTATTTCCTGGACATGTATAGAATTTGGTCAACAATGTCCCCCGCTGGGTGTGTTCCAGCTTCTCGGTCAGGGCTCGCCACTCTCTGTTCCCATCCCGAGCCTTCCCTGGGCCTTCGAGCCACCCTCCCCTCAGGAGGGTCCCGGCCCCCACCAGCCAGGTGCAGCTTGCACTTTTGAAAGAACTCAGACTCACTGTGTGGACCCCCTTTATTCTGCCCAGCTCTCCTGCCTCGGTGTCGACGAAGATTCTCTTTACCAAACTGCAAATTCGCAGCGTTTGGAGCACAAGCAGCGGAAGGCCTGGATCGCTCACAGAGTGTTCGTGGCCTTGTATGTTACCTCTCACAGAGGCCACTCGGACGCCGTGCAGTACCTTCTAGAACATGGTAATTTTGAGAGATGGCTGAGTATGTTCACAAGTTGGGGTCTACCGCGGGTAGGGAGGACAGAGTGCTTGTCTTCCAGGGCCTTCCGCAATGGCGTCCTGGACCCAAGTTGTGTCAACCACCAATCATGGTCCCGTGGGCCACTGGGGAGCCTCTGTCTGTAGGGGTCTTAGGACATGCTGAGTAAAGGCGGTTGTCCTCTCTCCTGGCCGGGTCTCAAGAAGATTCTGTCGTCAGAGATCAAACTTCCGGACACTAATTCACAGGAGTAGCCCAAAGAGCCTCCCGGCCTCTTCGAGCGCCGCTGAGGATGTTCCTGGACTCCCTGTGTTGTTCCTGCCCCAACTGAGGTTGGGTTTCTGCCACAGTCTGAGGGGTCTAGCCCCAAGCCAGCATCACTCTCTTGGAGGGGGAGAGGGGAGCATTGGCAGGCCGGCTCTGAATGATTTCCTTCAGGAGACCCTTGCCGCAAACCCCCTTCTCATCTCGTCTCCATCCCCGTCCCCCGCCCCCGCCCCAAGGACAGGGTGTCACTCTCTCCCTCTCTGTTGATAGAAACAGCAGCCTTGGCCTGCATTGTCTCTGAATGTGAGGGCTTGCATGAGACTCGGCCGAAGCACGCTTTATCTTTATCTCCCCTGGTCGTAGGATATTTTTGGGAAAAGAGGCTCACCGATTGAGGTGCCGACCATTCCAGAACAATAGACAATGGCCGCAGATGGCCCAGGCCGCTGGCTTCCTCGGGAACAGGAAGAACATGTGACGTACTGTTTGGTCAGGGGTTTGAGGCCCAGAAGGGGCCTCATCCGAGGGTCTCCCCTATCAACTTGCTTTCCAATCTGAACCTTTCCTGCCTGTGGCCTTGACCCTGGCTCTCCACACCTCGTCTTCACCCCTGCCCCCACCTCCCGCGAGCAAGGTGCCGGCATCCTCCAGGCCAAGGCAGGATGACTGGGCAGAGGCTTTCCTGACCATTTTGCCGCTTTCTCCACGGTTTCCTCCACGCTGCCTGTTGTGGGATGAAATATGGGCTGTTCACAGACCAGCAGTCCTTTAAGCTCATAAAAAGTCATTTTCACTCTGATGGAACTGTGATGTATTTGAAAGCCCCAGTTAAAACATTACATCCAGCTTTGCAAAGTTTTCTGTCCTTTGCACACAGCCGCCGCAAAGCCGTGCCGAGGCCGAGGCTGGGCGTCCGGAGAACCCATTTAAAACGTTACCTCACCGTCCAGCCATAGCTCATAAAAACTGGCTACAGAAATGTCAGCTGCTTGTAATTGAATTGCCTTGTTTTCTGTGTCATGATATTTGTTACCCAGAATTTGATTCAATTCAACAAGTCCGTATTGGACACCTGTCATTAGCCCATCCATCTGCGGGAGGCAGTGAGGAATTCAATCGAAGTGAAATCTGTCCATGAGTCAGGCTGCCGGTCGTCTGTCACTTCCCGAGCGCCTGTCTTCTCCGGGCATCGCGCTACGTGCCGGGGATGAAAACAGCAGTGATCAAAACAAGTGTGTTTTCTGCCTTCATGGAGTTTATGAAGGGAAGTCAGCAAATTATTACAAATAATTAATTCCATGGTCAGTCGTGCACGGCATGTTCTGAAGCTGTGGAATGTCTGCTGAGCATATACAGGGGAGCGGGACTCATGGGAGGGGGTAAGGAAGGCTTTCCTGAGGAAGTGCACGGAGGATAAAGAAGGATGGAGTTAGCCAGGGCTGGCGGGGGTGGGGGGTGGGGCAGAAATGGGGAACAGGCCATTAGCAGAGGGAACAGCATGTGCAAAGGCCTGGGGCAGGATGCGGGAACAGGGTGTCTTTAGTGCGTAAAGACAGAAGACTGGTATAATTGGAGCATGCATAGACAGAGAGGTGGAAGGGCTTGGTGTGGGGAGGGTGGCAGGGTGAGACAGAGCAGTAACGACCTAGAAAATGACCCCAAGGGTAGCGGATGCCAGAAATGGGGTTTGAACAGGAGCGTGCCATGGGCAGATGGGAGGCAAGGCAGTGCTGGCCACTGGGACAGTGCAGCAATGCCTCCTCCCTGATGCTCCCTGATGGGGTCAAGCGGGGGCCGTTATTCACTCTCCTAAGCCGCCTTGTTATGGCCTCACCCCTCCTGAGCTTCTCCTCTTGAATGCCACAGGAGATGGGGCTCCTGGCCGGGAGGGTGAGCCTCGCTCAGCCAGGTCTCTTATTTTACAGGGGCCAGCTGTCTCAGCAGAAGCCCCATGGGCAGGACAGCCCTGCACGCGGCCGCAGCCATGGGCCGTCTGGACTGTATCAACCACCTGCTGAACTATGGAGCCTCCATCAATGAAAAAGATGCCAGGGGGGAGACCCCCATGTCCCTCGCCCGGCGCCTGAACCACAGGCACAGTGAGCAGCGCATGTTCTTCTTCTACTGGATGGCGAAGTCAGGGACAACAGACCCAAAGAACTTGACCGAGAACAAGGTTCTTCTCAGGGCAAAGTCTAAGTCAGGCTCCAAGAAGAGCCAAGTTTGATTCCCTCTGGGAATGTCTGCACCTCGAGGGTGACCTGGGTAACTTTTCAGAGTTCAAATCCACAGTGGCCTTTGGGGAGCAGGAAGCCAAGAAAACGTGGCAATTAATCTGAATCAGATACTAAATTATCTGTCCTGTTTGCAAATGAATCGGGGAGGGTGCTGATGGAAGTAGGTGAGCTTGTGTTCATTCTGTAATCCATTACGGACCGACCGGGCTCAGATGCTAGCTGTTATTTTTAAGCTATTTGAACATTGTATCCAGTAACGCAGCTTGGGGTGATGGGAGCCAATTACCTTCTCGCGTCTGGAGACCATCTAATGCATCAGCATAATAGAAGTAATAGTGGTGATGAGAACGGTACTGTTGCTATTGCCATGCACAAGTGCTGGCAAATGTTGGGGGGGTCCTGCGTGGGGCGGGCTCTGAATTTCAGTCTGTAAAGCTCAGGAACTGTGTGCTACGTGCTGTCGCAGCTAGTGATGTTCCAGAAGTTTTCCGGAGCCATCCCCAGTGGTCCAAACACACCCCACCCCCCCCATCCTCCTTCCCTCCAGTGTTCTCCTTCCTTGCTAGGACCCCACGTGGCAGAAACGTTCCAGGCTCTGTACCCCTTAAGGGGCCCAGTCTGCCATGCACCAGGGCTGGGAGTGGGAGCCAGAGGGGAGGGTGGAAACCAGCAGTGCAGACCTGCATCCTGCTGTCTGGAGGGGGCGCCACGAATCAGCTCCAAGCAGAAACGTGAGCCAAAGTCTGCTAGATTTTTCCAGAGCTTTTTGATAGGATATAGTCAGATTTTTAAGTGTTGACTTGAATTTTTTAAAACATGGTGGCATGGTACAGAAGGAGTAGCAGATCCGAGACACGCGTGTGGATGCGTCGTACTGCCAGACTCCACCCCTGTTCACGGAGGAAAGGGGCAGAAGGAACTCAAGCCTCCTGGGACATTTGCGGCTTGGAAGCCATGGTCTTGCTGGGTGACATGTATTGTCCATACTCCCCCCACCCCCCACTGACGTATGTTTCTCCAAAGCCCCATATTCTAACATGACTTCTGCGATCTGTCTGTGCGACAACGGTCTCTCGACCGTGGAAGTTTTGTTTTCAAAGTGATGGAAAACAGCACCGTATCCCGGCTGCCCTTCTTTCCCACACATATCTCGATAACTGGATTCGGCTTTTAAATTAATTGGCTGCATTTCCTGCTGTCATAACAAGGAAGATCCCTGTTGATGATGCGGCTTCATACTCGGTAGACGTGGCGGTACCCAGCTCAGCAATCTGTTTGACAAATAATAGTCAGAAAAAAAATAGAGCTCAGCATCAACTGTGTCAAAACTGAGATCTTGTTTTTGGCAGACGTTCTCCAAAGTCGGTAGACAGATATTAAATAACCCCAACCATTGGGTCAATTCATTCAGCTAATGAGGTATGTTGGCGGGGCGACTCGGGGACCCTTTTAACTTAACAAGTGGCATTACTCAAAGTCATTTGCTTGCCAGCAGCTTTGCTCTGCTGTCGCTGCCGTTACAAGAGCTAGCTGCCTGATACTCGTCCCCAAAACTTCAGAGACAAGCACTGTATCTTCGCAAGCCCCCAGTTCAATGCAACACTCGGCCGGAAAAGGGGCAAGTTCCAAGCTCCGCGGCTGACGCGCCGCTCAGTCCGAGGCAGGGCCGTGCACACGCTCCTACAGGTCCTGGAGGCACTTCCTTAGAGGCCGCCGGACCATACTCTCAGAGGCCATGTTCAAACAAGCCTGCATCACAGAGTGAATAAAATATGTCCACAGCCAAAGAGGAGTTAGTTTGCAATTGGTCACAATCACGTTACATGTCATAGATATTTCATTAAGCATTTTTTTTTTTTTTGGTGCAGCCAACAAAATTTTTTTTGGTGGGGTCAATTCAAGCATTTTTGTGGGACCCTGAAATCCTTCTAGGCCCAAGGCACTGGGGATGGTCTTCAGTGGGAATCACTGTGGTCCGTGATCGCCCAGGTGGGTCTCCCTGCAGTGCGGGATGGGATGGGCTTGCGTCTCGTAGTGGGTGCAAGGATGGGTGGATGGGCTGCCTCTTGGATGGGGGTTAGTCTTCTGGGTATAATACCCAGCCCCATTCTCCCTGGGTTGGCCTAGAAAACAGCGTTGGGAGGTGGGGGACTGCCCATTACAAGCAGGTAGTGACCGCTCTGCCCCCAACGTGCTCCCATTCACCTTGGCCGCCAGGACGCTCAGCTAGGGCATCTACCCTCCCCTTGCCCTCCCCCTTCCCTTGAACGAGGTACAATGTGTTGCTCTTTCTTGTACGCATGTTTGACTGGAAGTGGCCTCACCTCTTTTCTAGAAGGCCATGTGGCACAAGTCAGGAAGAGGTCATGCACCCTGTGGGGTCCAGAGGGCGACGTGGACATCGTGGCCAGGCCTCGCTCAGCCGAGCCAGCCTCCTGGCCACCCAGCCCGGAGTCCCCTGCCGCTTCATTGTCTCAGAGGCAGCTGGACAGAGATGCTGGAATTTTCCTCTGTATCCAGTCTATTGGCCTGGTCTCCAGTCTCCTCCAGAACCTGGATGTGGGCCCCTTGACGGCCCCTCTGGATCTCAGGCTACCTCTTGGGTGTCTCTCTCACCACGGATCCCCCCTGCATCTTGGACCCTGGCGCTTTCCTCCCTCAGGACTATTCACCAACCCGAGCTTCCCAGAGAGCCGGAAGGGATGGCATTCCCCCTGGTGGCAACTTGGGGGACTTTCTCCGTGGCCCTGAGACTGCTTTAAGTGACACTGCGACACAGGCTGAGGACATTATTCCCTGGGCAGATTGCTCTGAGTCCTGATTCCAACAAGGGGAAAGGCTGTTTGGGGCTGGGACGCCTTTACCCCTTCCCCACCCTCACCAGTCTCCCCTCTACCACGGAGCAGGCCTCTGCGGGCAAGAGGGCTGTGCTGGGATTGGAAAACATTGTCTTGTTCTCAGTGCATTTGTGGGCCAGGATTCTATTCCTTTCTCTGTCCCTAACAAGTGTGTGACCTTGGGGGCAAACTGTCACCTTCCAACGGCCTCAGCTTCTCCGTCCGTCAGGGTCCTCATTGTCTCCATTCTAACGTGCTCGTGTTTTGGAGACGAGACGACCCATGAGGCAGAGCTCTGGGGGCCCAAAGCCTCGCTGCTGTAGCCCCGCTGGGCTGTCCGGCCGGCAGGTGAGGCTGAGAACTTTCCTTCGCCGCTGGCTGGGTGGCATGAGGCCAAGCAATCGCATCTCTCAGTGTCTTGGTCTGTAACATTTGGGTAATAAAACCTGCCCCTGTCATCGCTGGAGGGATTAAATGCCGGGCACAGAGCAGACACTTGAAAAATAGTGCCCATTATTATTATTATTACTAGCACCACTTAATTTGCTTAAAATGTTTACTCACCAGGAATCAATACGCTCCTGGTTTCCAGATAGCCTCATAAATTTTCAGCAAACCTTATACAATAAGAGTCTCCATCCAGAACTAATAATTCCCAAAGTGGGAGATAAATAATTTCCCTGAAACTTGCTGATTTTGGTATTAAGTACAGGGCTTCCTCAGCAACTTCTAGAAAGTCGTTCCGAATTGAGAACTGCAGGGCCAGTTGCGCAGAAGGGAAAAAAAAAAAAAAAAAAAAAAAAAAAGCTCTAAGATGAGAGGAAAATTCCAGGCGCTCGGCTCTGCCTCCGCAGAGCCCTGACGACGCGAGCACCCAGCAGAGGGCACAGAAGCCCATTAGCATTTAGAAAAACGCCGGCGTGTGTGTCCGCTGGAAATGTCAGGGATGCAGTCTGCGCCACGCCGGAAACTCAAGAGCAGGGCTCGGTGGCGGGGGCTCGCAGACGGGCTGCTCTGTCTGAACCCCCGAAATTGTATGACGCACCTGTCGGCACACATGCATGCTCGGGGGGGATCTTCCGAGCTCCCATCGCACCCTCAAAGAACCTGGGGACCCCCTGCCCAGAGGTCCCCAAACCCGGGCCCCACAACGAGGCCAACCACACCCACGGTCAAATCCCATCAATGCATCCATACGGTGTCACCGTCTACCGTTTGGTTGGCGCGTGTGGTCAGTTGGCAATGGGAAGGATGCTAAAACGGGTCACATCTGATGCTGCGATGCGCGTGCTCGCGAGCTCCCAGGGGACCTCGGAGAATTCATGACTCCGCCCAGCGACCCCACTTTGGTACCTCCATCCCGCAGAGACAAAGCCCCAGAACATTATGCGCTGCATGCGTGAACGTTCACGACAGATCTTTCCGGGGACCAGGTGCCTGGAGACGCTCCCAGTGCCCACCAGTGAGGCTAATGGTGGCACCTTTTCACCAATTAAGGAATAACTTGATTTATGGCTATAAGGCCAAGGGACGGCCATAAGGAGTGTGATGTGTCCTGATATCCCAGTTTGTGAAAAACGGCAAGTTGCCCAGGAGATGTGTATGAGATCATTGAGTTACAATTTTGAAAAGGAGGCAAATCCAATAAATGTGCATGTAAGGGTATTTGAGCAAAAATAATGAGGTCAAAGGTCTTCAGGCTCTTAGCATTGTCTACCCGAGGCTGCTCTGCTTCATACATCTTGAAGTGGTCACAACCAGCATTTCTCTTCTTATGGTAAAATGCCATAATGTGAAATTTGTCATTAATGATGTTTTGCACATTTGCAGTGTTGTGCAACCAACACCAGTATGTAGTTCTAGAACATTCCATTGCCTTACAAAGGAATACTTGACCCAGTAGCAGCCTGCCCCTCTCCCCACCCTGTTCCCTCTTCCCCAGGGCAGTCACCGGTCTGCTTTCTGTCTCTGTGGATCTGCCCATTCCAGGTACTTCAGATAAATCAAGTCAGTGTGTATCTGGCTTCTTAGCGTTGTGTTTTCGGGGTTCATCCACACCAAGTGTGTATCAGACTTCATTCCTTCTTATGGCTGAATAACATTCCATCGTTATCCCTTCATTAGTTGGCATCTGGGTTGTTCCCACCTTTTTT